ACATTTGGCACTTTCCCATCTGGGCCAGCACGGACCGGGCTGGGTGAGTGTTCACATCTAGGTGGCCTTGTGTTTTTCCATGCTCAACTGGTCAGTTGTTTGGCCCCACATACCAAGGCGGTCTGCTTCGAGCTGAAAAGGTCCAGCACACCCACTGCCAACTGATTGGCTGGCTCAAATACACGCCTACCATTAGGAGGAGCTTCCAATTGGCAGATAGAATCAACCAGCGGGACCTTTCCGCATGCGCAATTCCTTATTCTGGATGCTGAGAAGCAAACATTGGTCGCCTCTGACTGAGGCTGCAGCTCTCTGTCTCTCCTCACTGAAAGAGAGAGAGAGAGAGAGAGAGAGAGAGAGAGAGAGAGAGAGAGAGAGAGAGAGAGAGAGAGAGAGAGAGAGAGAGAGAGAGAGAGAGAGAGAGAGAGAGAGAGAGAGAGAGAGAGAGAGAGAGAGAGAGGGAGAGAGAGAGAGAGAGAGAGAGAGAGAGAGAGAGAGAGAGAGAGAGAGAGAGAGAGAGAGCACTACCATGCCTTGAGCTTCATAGACGTTGTTTAAGGGAGACACCACAGACTTTTTCTGTGTCTTTAGCCCCGCCCACGTGCTTGGAGCTTTCCTCGTTCTTGAGAAGTGTGTGTGTGAACAAACCCTACCGGTGTGGGACCCGGATCGCCGCCACCCGTGCTGACACAAACGTGAAACTGTCAATAAAGTGCTGTGATTGGCCCGGCCTAAATTTAGCCGATCCAATGGCAGATCTACCGAGGCTACAATGGAGCATGGCTAGACCCGCCTGCAGAGCAGTCTTTTGCTACTACTGCAGCTTGTCTAGATTTCTAGGCTGCTTGTCTGTAGTACTTGGTCATCTTTTTCAAGACGTTTGCAGTTCATCTTGACACGCTGTCAGTCATCTCCTGGTCCAAATTCCAGCTGACGACAGCCCAGATGTACCCAAACAATCAGAAAGGGACATCATCATCGTGGACTTTTTTTTTTAGGTACAAGCTTCCGGTGAATCAGTTGAATCTTGCTCCTTTCAGTTCTTGGTGGTTGGATAAATGGTTGGTTGATCGGTTTGAGTGCAATCTTGTGCAAATACACATAAAAATGGAGGCAGCAAATTTTGTGTTTTCATTTGATGGCATTCTCAAACTATTGGCCATGGCTACATCCTGCAACGTTCTAGATTGTCTTTAGGCTCAAATAACACGGGGACTCAAGACATCTAAGAAATGTTAATGCAAACTAAAACAGACTCACAGTTGCAGGAAGCACCCTGCGGATAGCTTCACTTCCCTCAGAGGCCGCATAATTCCAATTTGAACAACATTGACAATCATGCGGGGAACCTGGTGAATCGGAGCTTCCGGTGAATTCCAGTTGTACATTTGCAGAAATTTGATTATTATTGTTTTCGTTACCTCCTTCTTCAGCATTTCCAGAGAAACGGTAAAATGATGAATGAAATTATCAACTGAATATTTAGTCTAGAGAAACAACAAAACACTTTTTTATAATCACAGGCAGAAAAATAAAGATTTTGTTTGATACCATTCTTGTACTGGTGGTTAGAAGACAAACCTTATCTTTGCAGTAATTACAGATGTCATTCAAACCAATGAAGATAGTTAGAAGCTTCCAGTCCTCCTTAAAGTTCAAATCCTGAAGAAGCACAGAGAACAGATGGTTCAGAGGCTAAATAACGGACAAATCTGTTAGAACATTTCAGAAGGAAATGTACCTTACTGCTTCTCAGTGTATCAATCAAAGTTCTGGCTTGGCTTGGGAGTTGGCTGGGAAAGCAGGAGTCAACAAAGTCGAGGATTAAAATCTCCCTCGCCACAGCCACTCGTTAATGTTTATACTGATGAGCTCTTACTAAGTCCTGTGTCCATTCGTAGCCAGATTGAAGCCTGCTTTTTCGATGGGAGCGTGCAAGCTATGGAAGGTTGTTCCAGAAGAAGCACCAACAAGGTTAGGGTTAAACAGCTTCATTATATCTAGAACAGACAATGAGAAATAGGTCATGAGAAGGAAGCGCCTTTTTAATTTATGTGCGTTTTTTTTTAAATGACTACTTACTTGGTAACGTTGAGACATCTTTCAGTGTCCCGTAGCCTCCAATGCTTCAAGTGGACAGAAAATGAGATCGGCATTGAAGCGAACAAGGTGTTCACGTTTAAATGTTGTGATATGACTTTTTTTAAGAGCTCTACCACTTTAACAGGATTAGTACCTTCCCCAAAATCCAGCTATACTCAATCGTGTGCGTGCCCCCTAGCGGAGCGTTAGTCTACAGTTCAACAAAAAACAATTTTCCGACTGTTTGAGAATTTAAATGACTGTTCTCACCTCCATGACAGGTCGCGATACTCTATTGGGAGTTGGAGTAAAGAGGTGGCGTTTGCCCCTACAGCTGTCTGAAAAGAAAAGACGACATCAATGCTTTATTTAGCTAAGACGGCTGCACTGATTTCATTTAGCGTTGCCCAGTAATAAAAGCCCCATTGGCAGTGCAATTGGTAATGTTACCAAACACCTACTGTAAGGGAGTCCCCCAAAGCAGCGACGACTTTAACATCTGCCACCTTCACAAATTCAACTAAACCAGAAGTGTGAAAGGAAGCACAAAGTGAAGATCAGTAAATTTCATTTAAGCTCCAGTTTCTGTGTGATGGGTCGTTGGGTTATGTGTGGCGTGACCTGGACGGACCTGAAGAAGGGACAGATGGAGAGGGGCTCATGTCTGGACACTGGAAGGAAGAGTGGCTGAGGGTCACCTGTTGAGTTTTCTCCATGTTCTCCTTAACAAATGAAGAGAAGAAAAGCAAAAACCATTCATTTCCTCCTCCCTTTTTGACCTTTGTATCATTAACTCCCTCACTCTCTTTAAACCCAGACTCAAAACCCACCTCTTCCGTCTAGCATTCCAATAATTACTCTCTTTGCTCCAATTTGTCTGTTTTATGCTGTTCTGTCTTTTATTGTTGTGTATTTTAACTCTGTAAAGTGTCCTTGAGTGTTTAGAAAGGCGCTGTTGAAATAAAATGTATTATTATTATGAACCAATGTGTCAGATTTGAGGTCTGCCACTGCCTTGATTTGAATGGGTTTCTCTTTCCTCTGTTTTTAGTGTTTTTTTAATCTTTTATTGTATTTATTTTTGTGATTGCTTTTTATTGTTATGCTCAGCACCTTGGGCTTCTGCCAGGGTTGTGGAAAGTGCTCAATAAATGAATAAATGCATTTGGAGGAGTTGGTTCTCAACCTGGTTTCTTCACATGTGGCTACAAACCACCCCCGGTACACAGTGGAGGCCGTAGCAGACATGAGAAGCTTTGGTACCCAACCAGACCTGTAAACACCAAACCGTTAAGAGACATGGACCTGCCCTGGTAGAGTCCAACCTGCAAACTGCAGAGAACACTCTTGCAACACTTTGGAAGACACGGTTGGTCATAAGCCTTCTCCAAGTCCACAAAACCTGACAATCCAACTCCCCTGACCTTGTCAACTCTGCAAGGGTGAAGATCTGGTCCGCTGTTCCTCAACTCTGATAAAAGCCAGACTGCTACTCCTGGATCTGAGAAGACTCGTTTCTAATTTAAATACCTAGTTTTAAAAAGGCTTTACTTTGATTTTCAACACATTTGTGGTGTTTTCTCTGTCTGCTGTGGAAGTCTAGGCTATCAGCTCTCTTCTGATAGGCCAGAGGTCCGGACAGCAACAAAACCGTGTGTTCCTCTGATGTTCTTGCTAATCTGTATCTTCGGGCTCTACCAGGCACAGTCCGAACAAACACGTGGGAACAACTTTAGATTCACAATCTTGGGTAGATGCATCACCAGCTTTAACGGCTCATTCAGGCAGCCGGAGGATGTTTTTAAAGCTAAATTAAAGACACACTCAGCTTTTATCTGGATGGTCTCAAATCCTGTATTTCTTTTATTATGGAGTTCAATTTTTGTTACTTTTCCTAAATTTATCATTCATAATTGTGTGATGAGATACTGTTTCATTCAAATTCATAACTTTTTAATGATCCATCATTCTAAAACCCCACACGGTGAAAGTCAAAGCTCAAATGCCCACTGATTCTGATTTAAACGACAGTTTTTAACCAAGTGCCGACCATCTACTGCTCAAAGTCCCTACAATGAAGTATAAAGCTCGTGGGGAGCGTGCGTTCGCCTTTGCTGCTCCCAGACTCTGGAAAGCCCTCTCTCTGATGGTACGCCGGGCTTCTTCACTGGCAGTTTAAATCCAGCCTGAAGTCAATGATCGGTCTTTAATGCTGTGCCTCTCTTCTGTTTTTACTGACTTTTTTAACTGATTTTAGGTGTTTCTATTTTATGACGGTTTTAATCTGTTTAATGTGTATGTGTGTGAATTTGAATGCTTTTTAGGTTTAACTCTGTGCAGTGCTTTGGTCAGCTCACATGCTGTTTTTAAATGCGCCATATAAATAAAATTAGATTCAACGCCGCTGATAAATGTACCTGATCAAAAGCCCCGCTGCTGAGAACTTGCATCCCTCCGTCAAACTCTGCCCACAAGTCGTCTCCTTTAAAAGAAGGGTTAGTGTCCACATTTTTAAAAAGCCAGTTGATTGTATTAATAATGGGTTAAGTAGACTTTCTAAATATTCATGACAGATCATTTCAGAGGCCGCCGTGACCTTAAACCCAAACTCATCGACCCCGATGCCCAGGTTGTTCCGGCACTTACTCACCTTTGACCGAGCGGGACACAAGCACACACGTTGCCACAGCGATCCAAAGCCCCCCCATAGTAGTGACCACTCAAAAGCTAGACTGCGTAACTATGTGATGCTCAGTTTGTACAACTCTAGCTCGTCTCAACCCCTCCAGTTAAAGGCTGAGCAGCAGCCTGCTGGTCCAATGGGAGTCCTCCTGATTAGTTTATCAAAGTGTGCACCATGATACCACGTCACGTTCTGTTTCTAATCCCAATCTGTGTTACCAAAGCACCCAAAACACTTCAAGACTCAATTATTTATTTATTAATTTAAAAACCTGTGTTTGTGATAGTAAAAATGTGATTTTTATGACATATTTGCCCATTTTATTGTAATTGTCTGAATCGATGTGCGAATAAGCTTCTCATTCTACAACCAAGCCTTTACAGTCCATTTGACACATGCAGATGTACAGCAGTCACTTTCCCCAGCTCTCACAACCAAAACACCAATAAATTGTAAAAAATAGGTCAAGTGAGGTTTAAATCTCAGACACCAGTTTTAGACGAACGGGAATGAGCTCCAGCCATCTGAGCTATGGGAAGACCTCCAAATTACACTTTTGTCGAGGGGGTGGAAGCCGTTGCTGCAGCAGAAATAAAAAAGGAGGTTTTTTAAGAGTGCTTCAATATCTGACAACTGGCTCGTAACCGTCTCAGAAAAGGCCGAAACAAGCAGCGCTGCGTCGGGCGTCTCTTTAGAAGCGGAAGATGTTGCCCTAAACTTTCAACTGGTTCCGTTCAGACTGAATTCAGGTGATTTCCCTAAAACTGGAACCAATAAAAGCAGGAAAACAGCAAAGTCCAAATGTGATGTTTTTTCTGTCCAACAAGCTCCGTTTGGATTATTGCAGCACTGCCACTGAAGCCGAGCGCAACGCAGCTCAGCACCAACAAAACGGGAACTTTAAAAATAATTCGACACCCGTGGCAAACGTTTCTACACTGAAAGCCTTCGAACAATCAGAGGAGACTTTCTTTAGCATCTAGATCAGAGCAGGAAAATAAAATTAGCACATTAGTCGTGCCTGATCCATTTTTTCTGAATCTGAAAGTTTTTAGTAGCAAAGCCGAAAAACTCTGTGGACATGAGTCAAAATGAGATGTGACGTAGACAAATCTAATTCCATTTTTCAAATGCGTTTGTTCTAAACTGCCTCTGATCTAGGATGGATGTCGTCACCGTGGCAACAAGAGTGCTTCTGAGTCCTGAGTCACAGGCTGATAAGGTTCCTCTCAGCACTGGTTGTTCAGGAAAACCAAAACAAAGTTTTTGTTTCGTCGCCTTTCTGAGTGGAGGAGTCGTCCAGCAGCTAGTGGGAGTTCTCCAAAACGTAGAAGGGAGCAGGCAGAGTGAGGCACCAGTCCGTGTTACGCTGCCCTCATTGCTGCTGCTCTTCTTCCTCCTGGGCCGCACCCCGGCCTGGCGTTTCCTCCTGAGCCCGAGGCTCGGCCGGGGCTTGTGGCTCTTCCTGAGCTGGTCTGGGAGGAGGGGCAGGAACGGGAGCAGGCGGCCGCGGCGGCACTATGATTTGATGCTGGCGCTGTCGGTAGGCGATGACCGTGCCCAGCAGCAGGGCGATGACAGTCATGAGGTAGAGGTCCCACTCTGGACCCAGAAGCTGGTCCAGGTCCACCTGTTTAATCATCTCATTCAGCTTTCAGAAGAAAAGCCAGAGTGAAACAGAGGAAGACGGGGTGTGATTAACGTTGTTTACTTTCTAATAGATCTGTTCATACAGCAGCAAACAGAGCTTACATTGAGATCCTGCAGGTACTGCAGAGTGTAGACCAGACCAAGCTTACACAGGGCCAGGAAGACCGGCACCTGAGCATCGGGACTGGCCTCGGCCGCCATGTCGTAGAAGCGTTTGGCTAAATGGATGTCCTGCAGGAAACATTTAAACATCAGAAATGCTGGTCCAGTTACTCTGTGGTTAGCTTCAGCGCTAAACGGTAGCTAAACTCACCTGTTTGATACCAAGGCCTTTCTCATGCATGTAACCCAAGTTAAACATGGCCTGTGCTCCATTCTGCTGCTCCGAGGCCAGCCTGTAGTGACTAACAGCCGTCTCATAGTCCACATCTGTTCCATATCCATAGAAGTGATAATCTCCCAGCTTTATCCTGGCCACGGTGTAACCTTCAAACAACGAGTACATGTGTAACGTTAGTAGTAGTAGTAGTAGTAGTAGTATTAGAGGACGGTAGAGTTGGAACTGCATCACTCAGGCGTCCAACACTACTGCACATTAAAAACTGACAGTTTCATTGGATTCAACATCTCCTAAACTACTTTTAAATCCCAAAGGGCTTGGCAGTCGGGTAAGGAGCAGGACGCCTAAATCTGAGAGCCACATCTCTTCCAGCACACTGAAACTATTTGCAGCCTTTACAAACAGGCTGGTGAAACATGGACGAACGATCCGACATCACGCTCAGTCATCTTCTACGACGATTTGTAAAAGTAGACTCCAACAGCAGCCAGAGTGACCACACCCAACAGAATCAAGTATTTTATGTGTTCCTCAATAAGGAGACTGTTGTTTTTCTTACCGGAAGAACATCAACATGTGAAAACCATTTTCTGTTCAACTTTTACTTGTATGGTTTAGGGTTGTCATGGTAACCGGTAGGGCTGCAACAAACGATTATTTGGATAATCGATTAATCGGATGGGGTCTCGACACGATTAATCGATTAATCGGATTACATGGGGAAATTTTTAAAAACTGCTAGGGAAACGTTATTTCTCTCCTTCCTTCACTTTATTTAACACAACATTATTAGAAAACAGTTCAATAGCAGAAAAACAACATGCCATCACCTAAATTGTCTTATAAGGTGTATAGACAGAGACCCTAAGCTACATCTATCTGTGACCTAAAATGCTTGGTCCAAGTTAAACAGCTTAAGGGCAATTCTCATCTGTTTTGTTTGATCTCATCTGTTAATATTTATTTTAAATGTAATTAAACATAGGCTGTGAATTAATCAAAATTGATCACTATTTCCAAAACTGACTGAAAAAATACCAAATAAAACAAAAGTAAATGAATGCCATCCTCCTTGCGATGATGCCCTGGGCAACTGCCATAAAGTCACATCAAGAAATGCTGCTGATCATTCCAATGATCCCAAATAGACTCACATTAGGCCACATGAAAGCAACTGAACCCAAAAATATATTAACCAGTATATAACTGCACTCTCACACAACACGCCTGCAGCAACAGTTAGGACTCCTCCCTCCCTTTTAAAAGCGTTTTTGCTTCTGAGGACATTGTGGTTGTAAAACCACACGCTAGTAGTCTGGCCCCGGTGTGATCAACCAGTTTCTGCGGGAATGTGACGGCGGAACCAGGGCCAGATTAACACTTTGTTGTACCCTGGGCAACAATATTCAAGGGCTCCATCATCACGACCCAAGGATCACCATAATGTGGTCACATACAGAATATTTTACTGTAATATGCAGTAAATATACTCAATACTTGAATGCCTGACAACACGTAACCCGCCCAGAGTAACCTTTGACCCACCTCGTGTGGACTGACCAATGAGGAGAGGGTCTTAACTTGAGGCCCTCTCTTCATTGGTCAGTCTGCATGAGACTGACTCTCAACTGACGTTCAGTCGTAGGCAGCGAAGCGTCTCTGTGCAGCGCAAAAGCCCGGGTGGACAGTTTGTTTAATGTAGGGTGACCATATTTCCATTTCCAAACAAGAGGACAGGGATCTGTGCCTATGACGTCACACTATGGCAACGCCACACAAACCACGCTGGGACCCATTTTTTTGTAAGAACTAAATTAATATCAGATTCTGCCAATTAAAGGGCTCTAAAACTATTCATATGTAAATATTTTGCATATTTAATGCAAAATCTAATTTTTCTGCTTTAGTGCTGCAACAAGGTTTTATTAATAATAAATTATTATACATTTTGTTTTACTACAGCATCGGTAAGCTTCCTGTGCACAGATTATTAAGGATGCTTGTTTCAGCTGTGAGATTAGACGATAGGATCAATGAAAAAATAAGTTGTCACACACTCCATGGAAACTTTCAGAGAATCCACAAATAGTGGCTTTCAAATGGTTTTGTTACTTTTTGCAAGTTTTTAAAAGAAGCAGATGAGACAGCATGTCTGATAATTTAGTTTTTCATCTGATAATATTAGAACATGTCAGTAATGTCTGAGGGGCTTTTATAAACACCGTATAACTAACACTCCTGGAGAGGGCATGAATTACACAGAGGCTTCTGGGGAGCCCAGTTAGGGGGGGGGGGGGGGGGGGGGGGGCATTTTGCCTTGGCCCCAAAATGTCTTGAAACGGCCCTGTGTGTGACTGAGTTTTGAAGGTGATCTGAATTGTATCAGATGTATAAATATTACATGTGTATAACTTATTGTTTTTTACTGGTAAAAACGTGTCATGGAGATAAATCTACCTACATTTGACTTTTCAACACTTTGTTTTGTTTTCTTGTTTTTATTTAACTATTTTCCTGTCCTGTCTGTCTCTCATCTTCCTGCATCTCCTCTTAATTCTCCAGAAAATCTGTTGCCTGGATTCTTACCTTTTCACCTCATCAGTTACTTTTGAGCAGATCAAAGGGATCTCCTGACCGAAAAGCGCAGAGCGCTTTTTCGATGCTGCGTGAGGTGACATCACCACAGCACAGGTGATGAGCTCCGCAGTAGCGCGCTTCAGGCACAAATAAGACAGAAAATAGAGAACATGTGCGGACATGAACGATCGTGTGCTAATTATAGTTTTTTGGTTGCGCCACTTTGAGAATGGACCGTGCGCTGGAAGCAGCTGCCTGGATCGCTGCGCGACAATGCGGAACCGGTTCGCAGCAGCGCAGGTCTGCCGGCTCTCCCTCGCGCTGATCTGCCGGCTCTCCCTCGCGCAGATCTGCCGGCTCTCCCCCGCGCAGATCTGCCGGCTCTCCCTCGCGCTGATCTGACTTGCTCTGGTCTGCGCGCAACGGCGGGCAGGAGGGGGGGGGGGGGGGGGGGGGGCGCTTTAGGAAGAGTTGTGCGACACAACGAATCGATGACGCAATTCGTTGCCAACGGTTTTAGTAATCGATTTTCATCGAATTTATCGATTCGTTGTTGCAGCCCTAGTAACCGGTGTGGCGGTAAACCCCGGTAATAGAGTTGATAATAATATTAGCCGTCTTGTTTTTAAAAACTATATTATCTCGGTGGATTACCGTGACTGCGGTGTAGGCGTGGTGACCCTTACCAGCCACCGTATCATCTGCTGAAGTTGCCGGCGGCACATGCGCACTTTGTTGTTTACAACCAAAACTTTCTTGAAGCTAAAGCTGAAATAATGGCCAAAGGAAGAGAGGGCAGCGCTCAGGAGGACATTTATTATCCCTCAAAGAAGACAAAGTGGGAAGTACGGGCATGTTTTGGATATCTGAAGAATGCAGAGGGACAGTTGATAGAAGACGGCTATCCTGTTTGCAGCACGTGCAGAAAAAGTGTCTGTGAAAGGCAGCAACGCTTCTAATCTCATGACACATCTGCGTGACCATCACCCACAACTCTACAGTCAACGCAAGTTAACAATTCAATTCAATTCAAAAATACTTTATTAATCCCAGAGGGAAATTGATTGCTGTAGTAGCTCAGAATAATAATAATAATAATTAGGGCTGCAACAACGAATCGATAAATTCGATGAAAATCGATTACTAAAAGCGTTGGCAACGAATTGCGTCATCGATTCGTTGTGTCGCACAACTCTTCCAAAAGCGCCCCCCCTTCCCGAATCCCGCCCGCCGTTGCGCGCAGACCAGAGCAAGTCAGATCAGCACGAGGGAGAGCCGCAGATCAGCGCGAGGGAGAGCCGCAGATCAGCGCGAAGGAGAGCCGCAGATCAGCGCGAAGGAGAGCCGCAGATCAGCGCAAGGGAGAGCCGCAGATCAGCGTGAGGGAGAGCCGGGTAGCGGCAGATCAGCGCGAGGGAGAGCCGGTAGCGGCAGATCAGCGCGAGGGAGAGCCGGTAGCGGCAGATCAGCGCGAGGGAGAGCCGGCCCGGCAGACTTGCGCTGCTGCGAACCGGTTCCGCATTGTTGCACAGCGATCCAGGCAGCTGCTTCCAGCGCACGGTCCATTCTCAAAGTGGCGCAACCAAAAAACTATAATTAGCACACGATCGTTCTTGTCTGCACATGTTCTCTATTTTCTGTCTTATTTGTGCCTGAAGCTCGCTACTGCGGAGCTCATCACCTGTGCTGTGGTGATGTCACCTCACGCAGCATCGAAAACGCGCTCTGCGCTTTTCGGTCAGGAGATCCCTTTGATCTGCTCAAAAGTAACTGATGAGATGAAAAGGTAAGAATCCAGGCAACAGATTTTCTGGAGAATTAAGAGGAGATGCAGGAAGATGAGAGACAGACAGGACAGGAAAATAGTTCAATAAAAACAAAAAAACAATCAATCAATCAATCAATCAAAGCTTTATTTATAAAGCGCCTTCCGCAACCCTGTCAGGAAGCCCAAAGCGCTGAAAGTGAAACAAAGCGCTGAAAACAAAGTGTTGAAAAGTAAAATGTAGGTAGATTTATCACCACTACACGTTTTTACCTATAAAAAACAATAAGTTACACACATGTAATATTTATACATCTGATACAATTCAGATCACCTTCAAAACTCAGTCACACACCCAGGGCCGTTTCAAGACATTTTGGGGGCCAAGGCAAAATGCCCCCCCCCCCCCCCCCCCCAATAACTGGGCTCCCCAGAAGCCTCTGTGTAATTCATGCCCTCTCCAGTAGTGTTACGCCGGGGACACACCGGCCGCGGAAGCGCCGCGAAGCGCCAAGAAGCGAATCGCTCACGAAATTCGGCCGCTGCTCGCCGCTCCTCAGTTCAGATCAGACGCGCCCCAGTCGAGGCGCGCCTCGGCTCAGCTGTAGTTTTTCTTTTAAACACTTGGTGTCCTCCATTTCCTCTCTGCCTTTTCTCAGCTCTTTTCCTACGTTTGAGTGTTTGTGCGCGTGCGCGCGCGCGTGTGTGTGTGTGAACCTATGGTATGAGTTGTTTCTGCCAGTTGAATCTCTTGGAACCCGCTCCAATTCTGCAGCTGTATCCTAGCAGTTTCTTCCGACATGGGTACGTAAACAATCATGTTTTTCGGGGGTCGTACAGCTCCTTGTGTTTCTCAACTTCCATAATTAATTTAAAGTCATCCATCCTAACTGCTTGCCTCAGACTTTCTGCCTCTCTGTCCTGTTTGCTCCGGTGAAAAGACACCCAAAACCACTCCCCCCTTCACGTGGTCACACACGCACACAAGTTCGATGTGTGTGTATGTGTGTGCGTGTTCGTGTGGTTTTTCTGCAGTGTCTGTTTACGAACACATTTGACTATTGCGGAATTTTATTTTGAAATGCTTTATTTTGTTAACTTTACCGGCCTGCCTCTTATGTCTACGTTTGACTTCCTGCCAGAATTGACGCGATTCACCCGCGGCTCGCGAAAAAAATAGAGCCAACGCCGAAATGATCGCTGCACGGCGCGCGCCGGCGCGAGGCGATTCGCGGCGCTTCGGCGGCCCATGTAGTCTATAGAATAGCTTAACAAGGGCGCCGAATGAAGGCGGTCCCATTTTCGCGGCGCTTCGCGGCGCTTCCGCGGCCAGTGTGTCCCCGGCCTTAGTTATATGGTGTTTATAAAAGCCCCTCAGACATTACTGACATGTTCTAATATTGTCAGATGAAAAACTAAATTATCAGACATGCTGTCTCATCTGCTTCTTTTATAAACTTGCAAAAAGTAACAAAACCATTTGAAAGCCACTATTTGTGGATTCTTTGAAAGTTTCCATGGAGTGTGTGACTAGTTATTTTTTCATTGATCCTATCGTCTAATCTCACAGCTGAAACAAGCATCCTTAATAATCTGTGCACAGGAAGCTTACCGATGCTGTAGTAAAACAAAAGGTATAATAATTTATTATTAATAAAACCTTGTTGCAGCACTAAAGCAGAAAAATTAGATTTTGCATTAAATATGCAAAATATTTACATATGAATTGTTTTAGAGCCCTTTAATTGGCAGAATCTGATATTAATTTAGTTCTTACAAAAAAATGGGTCCCAACATGGTTTGTGTGGCGTTGCCATAGTGTGACGTCATAGGCACAGATCCCCTGTCCTCTTGTTTGGAAATGGAAATATGGTCACCCTACATTAAACAAACTGTCCACCCGGGCTTTTGCGCTGCACAGAGACGCTTCGCTGCCTACGACTGAACGTCAGTTGAGAGTCAGTCTCATGCAGACTGACCAATGAAGAGAGGGCCTCAAGTTAAGACCCTCTCCTCATTGGTCAGTCCACACGAGGTGGGTCAAAGGTTACTCTGGGCGGGTTACGTGTTGTCAGGCATTCAAGTATTGAGTATATTTACTGCATATTACAGTAAAATATTCTGTATGTGACCACATTATGGTGATCCTCGGGTCGTGATGATGGAGCCCTTGAATATTGTTGCCCAGGGTACAACAAAGTGTTAATCTGGCCCTGGTTCCGCCGTCACATTCCCGCAGCAACTGGTTGATCACACCGGGGCCAGACTACTAGCGTGTGGTTTTACAACCACAATGTCCTCAGAAGCAAAAACGCTTTTAAAAGGGAGGGAGGAGTTCTAACTGTTGCTGCAGGCGTGTTGTGTGAGAGTGCAGTTATATACTGGTTAATATATTTTTGGGTTCAGTTGCTTTCATGTGGCCTAATGTGAGTCTATTTGGGATCATTGGAATGATCAGCAGCATTTCTTGATGTGACTTTATGGCAGTTGCCCAGGGCATCATCGCAAGGAGGATGGCATTCATTTACTTTTGTTTTATTTGGTATTTTTTCAGTCATTTTTTGGAAATAGTGATCAATTTTGATTAATTCACAGCCTATGTTTAATTACATTTAAAATATATGTCAACAGATGAGATCAAACAAAACAGATGAGAATTGCCCTTAAGCTGTTTAACTTGGACCAAGCATTTTAGGTCACAGATAGATGTAGCTTAGGGTCTCTGTCTATACACCTTATAAGACAATTTAGGTGATGGAATGTTGTTTTTCTGCTATTGAACTGTTTTCTAATAATGTTGTGTTAAATAAAGTGAAGGAAGGAGAGAAATAACGTTTCCCTAGCAGTTTTTAAAAATCTCCCCATGTAATCCGATTAATCGATTAATCGTGTCGAGACCCCATCCGATTAATCGATTATCCAAATAATCGTTTGTTGCAGCCCTAATAATAATCAAAGAGTTGTTGTATATTACAATGGCTGTTGGCAGGAAGGATCTCCAGTAGCGGTCAGTGTTGCAGCCAAACTGAAGAAGCCTCTGACTGAAGACACTCTTCCGTTGTCGGACAGTCTTGTGAAGAGAATGCTCAGGGTTGTCCATCATTTTCTTGATTCTCTGGAGAATCCTTCTTTGCATCATCTCCTCCAGCGGTTCCGAAACTGCCGAAACTCTGGCTGAGTCCTTGAAAGGGCTTGGAGTTCCTCCATCTTGTTGGCCAGTGACCTCACATTGCCCATTATGATCGATGGAAGAGATGGTTTGAATTTCCTCTTTCTCTGTCTCCGTTTTGCTCCCGCTCTGCACCCACGCTTCTTGTGTTTTAGCTCATTTGGGATTTGTGGCTTCAGTTGAGGTATTATTTCAGCCTTCCCAATGTTAATCAGCTGCTACCGATTGTAAACCAGCTTGTCGCCATGGTTATGCATTATAACAAATGCTCAAAAAGTGGAAAAAAGCTAAAAAAAATAGCAGTAAAAGCTCCAAGCTTCACAGCACCAGAAACAGAAAAGTAAAGTGTCCAAAAAATACAGTTTTTCTTTAGAAACTAGAAGCAAAAATGTCCAAGAAAAGGCAAAACTTACATATAGTCAACAGAGCTACTCCAACATGCAGCCGCCCAGAGCAGCGCAGTTTCGGAAAAAACGTTAGCGTTTTAGCTAAAATGCGTGATCCGAGGATTTGGGTTGAGGGAGAACGCAACGAGTCGCTATATAAAGCAGCCGCAGCGCCGCTACCTGCATATAAACCGTGTCGCGGACACCCCCATGTTGAAATGACGCTATGCATTACGGGGCTCCCAGGGGCAGATAAGAGTTGGTCTCTCTCCGAGAATAATTATGAATTTAACAACGATTACTGCCTGATGACATTTTCCCACATCTGCAAAGCTCACTGGAAGGACACAAACCGAGGACAACATTTTCCTGATATAGGGTTTATTACTCAAGTAAGGGTAAAAAAGTATCTGATTAGAAGGCTACTTGAGTACTGAGTATCATCTGATCTAATATTTTTAAAATGATGACATCAAACAGACAAAAAATAAGAAGTTATGGGCAAATATTGGTATTTTAAAGACTAAAGGGGAAAAATGTAAACAAATAAACAACATAATTACAAAATAACACATTTTAGGCAAAATTTAGACACAAACTGAGGACAATATTTTCCTGATATACAGAGTTTATTTAGTTGTCTGAAAATGTTACGCGTTTAAAAAAAAATACCGCGATAATACCGAACACCGTGGTAATTTTGGTCACAATAACCGTGAGGTTACATTTTCACACCGTGACGACCCTATTATGGTTTTGAATCATCTTTCATTTTTCTTATGATATTTCAGTAGTTTGATTTTTGATCCTTTTATGACTTTATGAATTGTTTTGTTGATCTTTGTGAAGCATTTTGTGACTTTTCATTTGTGGTAGCTGCTATACAAACAAACTTCACTCACTCACGTTTAAATCAGCGGATCACATTGGCTGACTCACCTTGTGCTGCGGCTCTTGTCCAGTGGAGTAAAGCGCGAGGGTAAGTCTCGTTCTCACTGAAGATCTTAGCTCCGTCTGCTTGTTAAAATCCACAAAAAGAGACAAAACCTTACAAGGAGCTGCCCTTTGTAAAGAAACCGACGTTCCAGTTGTCTTACTTTGGTCCAGAATGAAGGCGACGTTGCTCTGAGCGACTTCATAGCCCTGCTCCGACAGCAGCAGGTACTGAACCAGAGCGGCGTCCGTCTCGCCCTCTTTGAAGCTGCTGTAAGCCGTCATCAGGCGCTCCGACCAGCGGCCGCGCTCACACACGTTCTTGAATAGCTGCAATCAAGAGACACACACAGCCAATCGCTTAAAACTTAAGAGTAATATTGGTGTATATGAGATGTCGTTTCCTAGAGTCCTACCTCCACTGCAGTGTGACAGGAGCGCATCACACCGGTACCGGTAGCATGCATCTGGGCCAAGTTATAGAAAGCCAAGGTGTGACCAGCCTGAGAGGCCAGGTTGAAGAATTTGAGAGCCTGTTTGTAATCCCGCTTCACGCCAATACCATCTTAAGGAAAAGAAGTAGAAAACTGGTTTCATACAAAAAGAGAGGAACAGCTGATACAAACCAGAATAAGAGGAAAGTAGCAGGGCTGCTCGATTACAGCAAAAATGATAATCACAATTGTTTTGACCGATTATTTAAGAGGATTTTTAAATTCATGTTGATTTTATTTATCCATTTAGTTATTTTTTCTGTCATGAAATTGCAAACAACACAATCAGGACAACAATAAAACAGAAAAAGAAACAAAATAATCACAAAAACAACTCCTGACTCCTATAGTATAAAAAAGGCCATTTGCTCATTCTTTATGAGGCTGAGAGTTCACTTATTTAAGCGTGCCCAGTTCAGACCCAAGCTTGCAAATACTGACAGCGAGAATCATACAGTGCATTTGTAATATAAATTAATACAAACATATAAACTAAAATGTTGCATAATAATTATTTAGACCCGTCCAGCGGTGCTGCAGGGAAGTGAACCAGCAACGTGTCGCTCAGAGAGAAGAGCTAATATTTATCAGGGTGAGAAACTTAATTCTATCTATTTCTAAACTATTTACTAAAAGTTAATGTAAATACTGTCCCAGGCAGCGATCTGAGGTGTGCTGCAACTAGGGTTGTCATGGTAACCGGTGTAGCGCTAAACCCCGGTAAAAAAAAGTTGACAATAATAATAACCGTCTTGTTTTTTAAAACATGTATTATCTCGGTGGATTACCGTGGCTGCGGTGTAGGCGCGGTGACCCTTACCAGCCACCGTATCATCTGCTGAAGTTGCCGGCGGCACATGCGCACTTTGTTGTTTACAACCAAAACTTTCTTGAAGCTAAAGCTGAAATAATGGCCAAAGGAGGAGACGGCAGCGCTCAGGAGGACATTTATTATCCCTCAAAGAAGACAAAGTGGGAAGTACGGGCATGTTTTGGATATCTGAAGAATGCCGAGGGACAGCTGATAGAAGACGGCTATCCTGTTTGCAGCATGTGCAGAAAAAGTGTCTGTGAAAGGCAGCAACGCTTCTAATCTCATGACACGTCTGCGTGACCATCACCCACAACTCTACAGTCAACGCAAGGCAAGCTAACGTTAGCGTTTTAGCTAAAATGCGTGATCCGAGGATTTGGGTTGAGGGAGAATGCAACGAGCACTGGAAGGACACAAACCGAGGACAATATTTTCCTGATATAGGGTTTATTACTCAAGTAAGGGTAAAAAAGTATCTGATTAGAAGGCTACTTGAGTACTGAGTATCATCTGATCTAATATTTTTAAATGATGACATCAAACAGACATAAAATAAGAAGTTATGGGCAAATATTGGTATTTTAAAGACTAAAGGGAAAAAATGTAAACAAATAAACAACATAATTACAAAATAACACATTTTAGGTAAAATTTAGACACAAACTGAGGACAATATTTTCCTGATATACAGGGTTTATTTAGTTGTCTGAAAATGTAACACGTTTAAAAAAATACCGAAAACTGTGGTAATTTTGGTCACAATAACCGTGAGCTTACATTTTCACACCGTGACAACCCTAGCTGCAACCCCCCCACCCCCCAACCCGATCTCACAGCAACGCAGGGGCACGCTGCATGTGAGTGTTCAACATGCCGCACGCACACATTTTGTAGTTTTTTAGTGGCTCAGGAGTCTGCAGGTGAGTCACTCACTCTGGCTACCCAAGAGGGAGCCGGTTCTGTGAGCTGTTTCTATCCCGACACACACCTTCCCTTCCCCTAATGTACGGAAGGACTGTCCGTAGCGCAGGTTGAGTGTTTTGCTAACCTGCAGGAAATATTGACAGTTATCCAGAAAGTAGCTAAGGGTTACCAGAAATGCTTCTTTGTTGTTCGCACGGTACTTTTAGGATTTAAAAAGTCAACAAGAGGGTCTGAAAAGTCGCAAAGTTGGCAACGCGGTGGGACGAGCGCTTGATTTGTAACTCAGAGCAGCGCAAGAGGGAGGAGCAAATAATCGGCTCGTTTTATTTTTATAATCGTTCAAAACTCAGATTGTAATTGTGATTAAAATTCGATTAATTGAGCCGCCCTAAGCAGTGATGGATGGGATCTACACTCACTGTAATACATTGTCCCCAGCTGGAGCTGTCCATCCACCCAGCCCTGCTCTGCTGCCTTCTGGAAGTACTTCAGAGCCAACTCATAGTTCTGGTAAAAAACAAACAAACAAAAGAACAAGTGGCAGTTCTAAAATTTATTCTCCGATTTTGTCGAGATCTTAAAATCAGACGAACACATCTGTACGGTGTGTTTACAGCAGAAAAAGACTTCAAATGGTTCCTTACCACTGGGACACCTCTTCCATACAGGTAGGCCATGCCCAGGCCGCTCTGGCCCACAGGATTACCCTGAACACATAAAAGGTTCGACATCAATTAGCTCAGACTAAGTTCATAAAGAAAGTCTGCTCTTCTCAAATGTGCTAGCTCAGAAACAGAAAAGTGTTTTTTGGTTTTTTTTTACCATATCAGAAGCCTTCTTGAAGTACTGCAGAGCCGTTTCGTTGTCCTGAGGAAGAAACTCGCTGCCCTCTGAATACATCTAAACAGAAAATATTCAAGTAAATCTTAAAAAGATGATCTGCAGCCTTAAATACCTCAGTGTGAAACACAGAGAGGCCAGATTAAGGGTTTACTTATTTTACCCATCGCCTTATTCTGCAACTTAACCCTTTATGCGCCAATGTCGCAGAATTGCGACAAGCAGCAATGTTGGATTTAATAAGCCACAGCAGCAGAAATAAGCCCTCATGCAGTTAATACGTTACACTGCGGGGTGGCAGACACCTGTAACTTCAATCCAAGCAGCATTTGTGGGTGTGTTACTAGTGAAACTTTTCGAGTATTTAGAACTTCAACCCTAACCCGCCCACCCTTTGATCCACCGTGCCAGGGGGCGGGGGATGTGGTGGCGGTGATCAGGCCGGTGAAAAATTCAGCCCCTATCTATATATATATATATATATATATATATATATATATTTCTATCTATCTATCTATATCTCTATCTATCTATCTATCTATATCTCTATCTATCTATCTATCTATCTATCTATCTATCTATCTATATATATATATATATATCTATATCTATATCTATATCTATATCTATATCTATATCTATCTATATCTATATCTATATCTATATCTATATCTATATCTATATCTATCTATATCTATCTATATCTATATCTATATCTATATCTATATATATATACACACACACATATATATATATATATATACACATATATATATATATATATATACACACACATATATATATACACACACACATATATATATGTGTATATAAAATTTGGCTCATACTGAAGAATTTTCTAATTTACAATATTCCTTTATCTCTAACCAGATTTAAGCTTCAAGCTCTTTAAAGAGTGATATAAAATATTCATATTTTACTGAAAAAACTATGGCGCCTAAAGGGTTAATGGCCAATTTAGCGTTGGTAACACAACATTTATAAACAAGAAGTGGGTTGACTGGAAAGTAAATGAAGCTCATCCCCCCCACCTTGCCAAGGAAGCCCATGGCGAGTGTGTTGCCGGCGTTTGCAGCCTGATTGAAGTAGTCATACGCCCTCTGTTGGGAGAGAGGCACAAACAGGATGAGCAGCACAGAAACAAAAACTAGTGAGAAGAGACAGCTGCAGACGTTTTTACCTGGTGGTTCTGTTCTACTCCACGTCCTCCGTGCAGGTGCAGCTGCCCCAGACCCACCTGTCGATGGAAACACAGCAGGTCAATACATCTAACAAGAAACAATCTTCTAACTTAACCAAATAAATGGATGAAGATTTCATTTTTGTGTTCCTGCAGAAATTCACAATCTATCCGTTTAGGGTGTGTGAGTGATGTCAGCCCTGAAGGAAACTCCTCTGACCTGAGCTTGGACGTCTCCTTTCTCAGCCAGAAACTGGTAGTACTGGATGAGGTCCTCCTCCAACATGCCGCTGGTGGAACCCGGGTTCTCCACCTCGTCCAGCAGCCTGATCCTCTGCACCGCTGGGCCCCCAGTCAGCGACACGTCGCTAGCCACTGGAGGTGGACAAAGAAAAAAAAACACATTAAGATTCAAATATATAATCAGGGCATTTGTTAACAGCATTCAAAAGGAGATTAAAAAGCTGCTCACCGTGATTTGCTACAAGTCTGTAATGCGTCAGCGCCGACTCACAGCTCTGAGGAACGCCCACACCGCCCCAGTATCTGTACCCCTGATGGAACCAGAGCAAGAAATCATTTACTGACTGTGTAGAAATAAGACGTTGGTCAGTGAAGCGATTGGTCTGAGCAGTCAACTCACCAGAATCATGTGAGCTATCAAGTTTCCACCCAAAGCACTAAAGGTGTAGTAAACTAAAGCCTGAAAATAACAAAGCATGAGTTTTAGGGTTAAAAAGGTAGAATCTACAGGAAGACAGAGGAGATGTAAACGTACTTTTGCTTGACTTGAGTTAACTCCGAGTCCTGCTGCATACAGAAAGCCAAGAGCCTAAAAGAGGAAGTAAAACTTTGTTATTTTCTCCTTTGTTAAAGGGACTTTATGGACTTTTGAATTTTTATGCTCGCGATCGCCCCCTCAGGCCAAAAGCGTAACGGCAGCTTCAATAGTAGGCTCGTGCACGAGGCGCGCATGCTGTACGTGCACACTCCTTAACGAAAAGAACAGCTGAGACAGTCCCGTGTGTGTGTGTGTGTGTGTGTGTGTGTGTGTGTGTGTGCGTGCGTGCGTGTGTGTGTGTGTGTGTGTGTGTGTGTGTGTGTGTGTGTGTGTGTGTGTGTGTGTGTCCCGGAGGACAGAGGACAGGAGAACGCGCAGCTAATTAATTAAATAATGTGGTTCTGTAGCTTTCTCTTCAGCACAGCCGACAAAGGTTTATGATGGGTCAGTCCTCCTGCATGCTCAGATCATTCCCTTCCCTTGCTTGAAAAATTGTTCCAAAATGAAAGTTGAACCCACATCTTTTTTATCTGTGAATTCAATGCCGTTCGGCGAGTCTCAAATAAAAATTTGGGCATCTTACTGTAGAAAAATATACCATTAATGTAAAAAATAAACTCTAAATGAACTATGTTCACATCCAGAATCAAACCCAGGTCTTCTGCATGGGAGTCCGACATCTTACTAGGTGAGCTAAAGCACCAGTGATATCTTTTGTATCTGTAACGTTTATATCCTTGATGAGAGCTGAAACAACGTTCAAAGAACGGTTCGGAGCGAAAATGGCGATTTTGTTGCTAATTTGCAGGAAATATCTAGAAGAAAGTTCTACAGAAAGTAGCTAAGGGTCCTCAGAAATGTAGCTAGCTTTGTCACTAGGCGTTAGGAACAGCGACAAAGTGGCACTGCCTCTCTCTCTGCTGCTAAAGCTACAGATAGCAAATGCTACGGGCTATGCCTGAGCGTGAACGCGCATGAAGCAGCCTGCTCGACCCGAGCATCTCTCTTTTTCTGTGATTTTACAGAAAAACAGGCAATCACAGTAAAAATGCCAGGGCTCGTTCTACAGGACCAGGGCATTGCAGGAGAACGTATGAAGAAGACATTTATTATTTCTATACATGTTTTGGCCGTCACACTTCCATAATGTCCCTTTAAATTAGCCCAACATCTTGTAGGAGGTCTTTACCATCTGAGCTTTAGGGGAGCCTTCCACCGCGAGTTTCTCAAACATCTCTTTGGCCTTGGTGACGTTTTGGTTCATGTAGTCTCCAAACAGAAGGGCGTACGCCACTTTTTCTGTGGCTTTCTGGTGGCCCTTCTCTGCCACCTTCAGCAGCTTGTCATACAACCTGAGAGGAGATCAGATTAGCGGATGACACAGCTGGAGCAGATTTTATTACAGTTACGTGACCTAAAACAAATACGGATGTGTGTAGGAACGTCACACGAGCTCAGAGTGGAAATAAAGCAGAGATGACAAGCATTTAGGGAGGAACTAGTTAAGGAACTGACTCTTTCTTCTGAGTCTTCCTGGTGGAGGCATTGAGCATGTGCAGGACTGTCTGATATTGCTCCTCAGCTTCTTCAGCCAGCAGTCTCTGCTGGACCTGCTCCTCCGCTGAGACAAACCAAAAGGACATTTTTATGTAAATGACATTTTCAGTTGGATAAAATATCAAATTCTGAAGGGAAACTTACTTTCACAGAAGCCCCACTTCTTATCCAGGTCATAGTTGTAGGTTGTGGCGCACCACAACCGTCCATCCTCCCGTCCGTCGGTGGTACAGTCCGAGTACTCCGTATCCTGGAAGAGGAAGGGGAATATACAAGGCTCTCCGTGGGCTGTGCCTCCATTCACCACAGGAACTGGAAAATAAAGAATCAAAATCAATAAAATGCATTCACAAAACTCTTTCACCTTAATTTGAAATAGAAACACGAACAGGAGCTGCCAGGAAGATTACAAACAACCCATCCATCCATTTTCATCCGCTTATCCGGAGTCGGGTCGCGGGGGCAGCAGCCTCAAGGCGAGAGGCCCAGACTTTCCTCCCCCCAGCCACTTGGGCCAGCTCCTCCGGGGCAATCCCAAGGCGTTCCCTGGCCAGGTGAGAGACATGGTCCCTCCACCGTGTCCTGGGTCTACCTTTAGGTCTCCTCCCAGTTGGACGTGCCCGGAAAGCCTCACCAGGGAGGCGTCCAGGAGGCATCCTGACCAGATGCCTGAGCCACCTCAACTGGCTCCTCTCGATGTGGAGGAGCAGCGGGTCTACTCCAAGCCCCTCCCGGATGATCGAGCTTCACACCCTATCTCTAATGGAGAGCCCAGCCACTCTTCGGAGAAAATTCATTTCGGCCGCTTGTATCCACGATCTCGTTCTTCCGGTCACTACCCAAAGTTCATGACCATAGGTGAGGGTAGGAACGTAGATCGACCGGTAAATCGAGAGCTTCGCCTTCTGATTCAGCTCTCTCTTCACCACGACAGACAGGTACAACGCCCACATCACTGCAGACGCAGCACCAATCCGCCTATCGATCTCACGCTCCAGTTTCCCTCGCTCGTGAACAAGACCCCGAGATACTTAAACTCCCCCACTTGGGGCAGGACCTCATCCCTGACCCGGAGAAGGCATTCTACCCTTTTTCGAATCAAGACCGTGGTCTCAGATTTAGAGGAGCTGATTCTCAAACAATCCCCAAGTTAAATGATGTAACTGACTGCAACAGAAGCCGCAGGTGCTAGATGCTGATAATCTCTCCTGGGATTATAACGGTTCACAAAACTACTGAGCTTAGAGGTGGCTAAAGGAGAAGCAGGTCAAGCGTGTCGAGACTCAGCGGAGATTAGAAATTAGGAGTGCTGCTTCTGCTTCTTTAGCTCCACAAGAGCCAAGTGGTTTTTAAAAAAACCTTGAAAGTGTAATTTACAAGTTTTTGTTTTACTCATAACAATTTAAATGTAAGAATTAACTGTTGTATGATTTTTCAGTCCACGCCTTAACCTAAAATCTCTCTTTTTCTTTTATTTTACAAGATAAAACATGAAGCAGCTCGATACCTTCTAACTAAAACTTCTGTTGGTTACATTTGTAATATTTAATGGATGTTGTGAAAGCATTTCTTTTGGTAACAGCTCATCATAAAGCATTGCTAAAAGAATTTTATTTTCTAAATTAAACTGTTTATTGCAATGTTCAACATATAAACACACAAAAGTTTGTGCCAACTCGTACATTTGTGGCTATATTACCTAAAAAAATAAAATAAAATAAATTAAAAAAACTTACCCTCTTTAGGTTTTGCCTCAACCGGAGGAGGCTGTTCGGGTAGGTCCTCCTTGCCTTCTCCCTCAACAGGTGACTGATGCTCCTCTTCCATTTGGGAAGCCTCACGACGAGACGTTATAGATGCACCGGACATAATTTTTGATGTGATACGGTCATCTTCGTCCTCAGATTCTGGGACATGGTACGACTACAAATAAAGATTTTTTTGTGAAGAACGTGATTTTTTACTTTGTAATTTAAGAAGAAAAAACATTTCCTATAACTAATGTACAGAATCACTCTGAAAAGCTTTTTCATGCTGAATTTATTTGACTCTTTAAAGAGCAAGTCACCCCTTACAAGAAGTGTACTTCACTCCCACTTCGTGTTTGAAAAATGCAACAAATGCTGTTGCCTAGCAGACCGAGAGGGTGGAGCCACTAACAAATACACACACTCACGACATTGTGACATCATAATGTACCAGTTTACATCATAGCATACCTCTTAGCCAATAGCGGTGGCAGATTTAAATTCAAATGCAGTGAAGAGTTTTTACCTGACAACGGCACAACACTGACAGTTTCAGGCAGAAACTTTAAATTTTAACTAAAATGCACTAAAGTGCAAAACTATTGACTACACGTGTCTGCAGCACGATTAGACACACATTTATATAGTTTATCAGAAAAAAATAGTTGGTTTGGGGGTGACTTGCTCTTTAAACAAAAAAAAAACTAACTAAATAAATAAATATAAAATAATTTAGAAACCAATGTGTGACTTTGCAGTTTTGCATGCAACCAACAGCCTAAAACACAAATATGTCTAATTTTAGTTTAAACAAAAATAAAAAGCCCCCCGATGACCTTCAGTTGATCCAGTACCCTGCAGAAAGGCTCCCAACTGGAACAAGCATTAGAGCTTCTATTACCCCCGTGTTTATGTCTAGATGTTACCTTTGAAATCCAGCTGAGGACCTTAGATCTTCAGACCAAAATGTAGTACCAGCTCCAAAGACCAGGTGTGAAGTGGAGTGGGTTTCTTAAGACCCATTTAAGATGTTTCTGCATTTTTCTTTAAGTTTATTTTCTCTTTGATCATGTCTTATTTTGATCCCGTTTTTGAGAAGATGATGGTGGTGCCACATGAATAAAGGTTATTTCAAAATGAGGAACTTTCTAGACACTGCAACTATGTTTGCGATGTTGTGCAACTGCTGCCAAAATACCAGCAAGAGGTGATCACATACAAGTTTGTATTTTAGGTTGATCGGCTGAAATGTTCAAACAAAGCCAAGCTTAAGCTGGCAAACGTCTAAATAAAGTCGCACCACACACTCTGTGGCAGAAAGTCACATTTTGATCGTAGAGAATGATAAAAATAATTTAAGTTATGACGCACCTTTAGGTCTGGTCCATCGTCCCGATTTTGATCTTCCTCTGAAAAACAACAGTGGCAATACAGAGATGTCATAGACTAAATAAAACTAAACAGTTCTAGCACAACAGCTGCTAGCAATGTTAACCACGCCACTCCAAATGTTTGCATAAGTACATAAAAACACTGGCATGTCATACTTACCCGCTTTTACTCCTTTGATAAGGACTATGAGTAGAATGGCCACAAAATAAAGCCTTTTCGCAGTCTTTAACCCTCTTTTACAGCCCATTGCTGGTGACAAGCTAACCTCCTGCTAGCTGTAGCTACTTCTACCACACATTCGGTTACAGCCGAGTCACAGTACGAAAAACAGCATAAATATATTCTAACAAACACGCCTGGCTTTAAAAAGAGAGCCTGATGTAATCAACTTGGTAAAACGTGTCCCCCCGGCCCTAGTCGTCCAATAAATGTACAGATTCCAACAGAGTTGCTACAGCTGGTTTGACGCAAAGCTAACAAGCTAGGCATCACAACCAAAATAACGAATAACAAAACGGTATAATTAACTACCAGAGACTCAAAAATTCGGTCTTGAAAAGAGCTGAAAAGCACCAACGGATGTGTTAGAAAATCCGAATTAAAAACGATAGCCTAAGAATAAATATTTTTGTTTCATTTCTTACACATACAGTAGTTAATAACGTAAACTACCCATGTTAAGCCCCCCAGTGTAGATCGACGCTTCTTACGTCGAGAATTCCACCAATCACAGTGCGCCTAGAGTGACACGGGCCAATAGAAGCAGAGCAAAGAGCTGCAGCCAATCAGCTGCATACACAATTATACTTCCAGCTGACGGACTTGTCCACGACACCCAAACATGTAAATATGACAGTGTTTAGTAGGCGCTTATTACTAATTATCGAGGGCTCATATATCCTGCCAAAACAAGAAATGAATTGAATAAAACTAAAATACATAAGTGCTCACTAAAGTAATTCTGAAAGGAGCAAGATTATCACTTCTATGGATATGGAACATTTTCATAATGAAAATGTTTGAGATCTTTGAGTTTAGCTAATGGAAAATGGGGCAGAAACTTGTTGCATTTTAATTTTGCTCTGTGTACATTTAAAATAATGCAAAAATAAGCAATATCCACACATGTTCTGGAAAACATGTCTCTTTGGTACTCTTAACTATATTCATAATTTAAAATACCATTTGTGGCTACAAATTTACTAACCTTTGCAAGTAATTGTGAAACAGGAACGTACAATTTAGAGTTATTTGCATGCATAAATGCTCACACCAGCTATTATAATTAATAACTGAATGTTTATTTACATACAGTCTTAGTGGTCATTTTAGAGACAGCAAGACAAAGACGTGAATTATTGAAAAAAATAAAACCAAATTAAGTAAACAAACATAGAAAAGGAGTGCCAATGTTTGAATATTACAAATAATTCCACAGTTTTCATGACCAGAAAAGACTTTTAAAGACTTGATCCTCGACAGGCTGTTGAGATTTAGTCAGGTTTGTTGAACAGATGAGCAAATGTAAATATTCTACTGCTAGCTAAAAGCAACGGGACATCACTGGCAAGGTTAAACAAAGATTTTGACAAATTTTGGACACAAAATGAATGAATGCATCATTTCACAAGGCCTTAAAAAACAACTCAGCAGTATGTCACATTAAAATGTGCACTTAACAGTCTGACTTAATTAAAATAATCAAATCTTTGGTTAAAAAACAAACAAACAATTCTTTTGATTTATTTTAAATGAAAACCAACAAGATACAACAGTATAAGAGTACAAGTGTACACGTGTGGTTCCTTTGCATTAATTTAGTGGTATTCACACATAAATTCCCACATCATCACACTCAAACATCTACGGTTTCTGAAAGCTCTGGTATACAGTACAGCACACATACCTGAACCACTGATGTCATCGTACGCCCTCGCTAGTCTTTGTCTTGCTAAAAAGTTATTGCACACTTTTATTTTTTTCTGTTCAATGCAAACATGTTACCAAAACAAAAATCTATTAATCACAGTTTGGGAATGGGAGGAAACATCCACCAGTAGACTTATATTTTAAAATAAAAAAAAAAGTGGTTTAAACTAAACAGAGAGCTGTGCTGTTCTTTAGGAAAGAGGTTCATGATGTCCAAATTATGATTCAGCAGCATAAAGGCAGCTTATAGGCAAAATGTAGATCTTATATTTTGGTTACATATTTAATAAGGTCTTAAACTGATCCTTTGCTTCGTGTTCGCTGGTCCGAATGCATCCAGGCTGAGCAGCAACTACAGCGAACCAGCGTTGTTTCAGCAGGACACAATGAAGAAATGGATCCAGCGATGCATTTCATCGCTGCACGGTTTTGATGACCCACTCGGCTGCGGGGTTCAGCTGGCAAAGGTCTTTCATGAACGTTTCCCCATCGAGACACCTCTCCTCTAAAAAAAAAAAAGACAGCAGCGAGTGTTTAAGGAGAACTTTAACTCTGGAGTGTTTTTCTGCTGAGGGGACTCACTGATGTTTCCACCGATCTCATAAAGACACAAATCTTCCTTTTTCACTGCCACCAAACTAGGAGGACAAAAAATTAGGAAAACATGACGCAAGTTTTCAAATATCAGAGAGCAAAAGTATGGTGGGTGCTACCTGTCCTGGCTGAGGAAGCGGTTTAACACATCAGCAGCTTGTAAGTCTTCAGTCAGCTGAACGGCCATGGAAACTTTACTGAACTGGGGAGCTTGAACTCGAATGAACCCCTGCGAGTTCTCCTGGTTGTAAACAAAGAGAAACATAACGTCGATCACATTTAAACAAACACTTCTGTAGAACGAGGCCATCATCCTAACACTGCCATCATCTACGCACTCATGCTCCCACTAAACACAGACGGGGAAAGAATGTAGACATAAAGGAATTGTACATCTTTTGTTGATAAAACTCAAACAGCTGGTCTCCCAGCTCTGGTGTCGAGCGTCACTATCGACACTATTCACCATTATTTAATAAATATAAACAGATCTGCTTCTGGGTAATCCGGCCCTCTGGACTGGTAGAAAAAAGGCAAGCATCAGCTCTCTTTTCGACTGATCTGGTGTTTTTGATGAACACACAAGCACACACATTAAAATCACCTCCCATATGTTTTTATAGAAATGCTGAGCAGCACCACCAGATGTCGCTGTTTCTCACTCCACTGAAAACTTTCCCTTCCACAGAAGGATCTGCTGCTATCAAACTGAAACATATTTTAATCTTAAACTAGACACTAGGGCTGCACACCTTCCCCTCACCCCCATGCTAACCTTAACCAGCTTGCGCATGCTAAGCTCTGATCGTTGACGCGCTCCAGACATCTGCGTCCTGAGCACGGCCAAAGTAACATTATCAAATCAGGTGTCGCCACCTCAAAAACAAAGTTAACACGCGATCGTTCATGTCGGCTCATTTCCTTTTATGTTTTCTGTCTTTTATTTGTGCCTGACGCGTTTCGCTGCTGTGGAGCGGGACGCATCACCTGTTTTGTCCTCCGGTGACGCATCTCACTGGTGCGGCCGGCGCGGAGCGCGCACTCCGCTGTTTTTGCGGCTGGTAGATCTTTTAGAACTGCATGTTGTCGTTCTTTTATAAAACACAGAAACGGTTTTGTTACCTGTTGTTGACGCTACAGTTTCGCCGGCAGCCGTCTGCGAAACTGTAGCGTCAATAACAGGTAACAAAACCGTTTCTGTGTTTTATAAAAGAACGACAACATGGATTTAGAAATAACGCACAGCAAGAACACACCTAAGATGTTTTAGAACTGCAGTTCAAAGGTAACTCATGAGGTGAATATACAGGTGCTGGCCAGTAAATTAGAATATCATCAAAAGGTTGAAAATATTTCAGTAATTCCATTCAAAACGTGAAACTTGTACATTATATTCATGCAATGCACACAGACCAATGTATTTCCGATGTTTATTACGTTTAATTTTGATATTTATAGGTGACAACCAATGAAAACATCAAATCTGGTATCTCAGAAAATTAGAATATTCTAAAGGCCAATGAAAAAAATGTTTGTTTCTCTAATGTTGGCCAACTGAAAAGAATGAACATGAAAAGAATGTGCATGTATAGCACTCAATACTTAGTCGGGGCTCCTTTTGCCTCAATAACTGCAGTAATGCGGCGTGGCATGGACTCGATCAGTCTGTGGCACTGCTCAGGTGTTATGAGAGCCCAGGTTGCTCTGATAGTCGTCTTCAGCTCCTCTGCATTGTTGGGTCTAGCGTATTGCATCCTCCGCTTCACAATACCCCATAGATTTTCTATGGGGTTAAGGTCAGGCGAGTTTGCTGGCCAATCAAGGACAGGGATACCATGGTCCTTGAACCAGGTGCTGGTGGTTTTGGCACTGTGTGCAGGTGCCAAGTCCTGTTGAAAGGTGAAGTCTGCATCCCCATAAAGTTGGTCAGCAGCAGGAAGCATGAAGTGCTCTAAAACTTCCTGGTAGACGGCTGCATTGACCCTGGACCTCAGGAAACAGAGTGGGCCAACACCGGCAGATGACATGGCACCCCACACCATCACTGACGGTGGAAACTTTACACTGGACCTCATGCAACGTGGATTCTGTGCTTCTCCGCTCTTCCTCCAGACTCTGGGTCCTTGATTTCCAAAGGAAATGCAGAACTTGCTTTCATCAGAAAACATAACTTTGGACCACTCAGCATCAGTCCAGTCCTTTTTGTCCTTGGCCCAGGCGAGACGCTTCTTGCGCTGTTTCTTGTTCAAGAGTGGCTTGACACACGGAATGCGACACCTGAATCCCATGTCTTTCATGAGTCTCCTCGTGGTGGTTCTTGAAGCGCTGACTCCAGCTGCAGTCCACTCTTTGTGGATCTCCCCCACATTTTTGAATGGGTTTGTCGTCACAATTCTCTGCAGGGTGCGGTTATCCCTAGAGCTTGTACACTTTTTTCTACCACATTTTTTCCGTCCCTTCGCCTGTCTGTTAATGTGCTTGGACACAGAGCTCTGCGAACAGCCAGCTTCTTTAGCAATCACCTTTTGTGTCTTGCCCTCCTTGTGCAAGGTGTCAATGATTGTCTTTTGGACAGCTGTTAAGTCAGAAGTCTTCCCCATGATTGTGGTGCCTTCAAAACAAGACTGAGGGACCTTTTAAAGGCCTTTGCAGGTGTTTTGAGTAAATCAGCTGATTAGAGTGGCAGCAGGTGTCTTCTATATTCAGCCTTTTCAGAATATTCTAAGTTTTTGAGATACCAAATTTGGAGTTTTCATTAGTTGTCACTTATGAATATCAAATTTAAATGTAATGAACATTGGAAATACATTGGTCTGTGTGCATTGCATGAATATAATGTACAAGTTTCACGTTTTGAATGGAATTACTGAAATATTTTCAACCTTTTGATGATATTCTAATTTACTGGCCAGCACCTGTATATGAAGCCAGGTAGCAGTTTTTCTTTAGGATTGAGAGGAGATGCAGGAAGATAATAAACAGAGACAGGACAGAAAAATAGTCAAATAAAAACAAGTTAGTTTTTGTATCTGGTGGTTGCAACAAACAGACACCATTGAAGGTAATCAGAAGTGACAGGGGCGTGTCCAGGGAGTGGCCTGGGGTAGCACATGCCACCCTTGGAATCTGATTGGCCACCCCAGGTGCTAACACACTAATTTACCTTTAAATAGGCTTTTCATTGTCCACAAAAGGCTTGGGGGTAAAACAAAAAAAGCATAACCATTGGTGCCACCAATGAACAAAGTTGTGCCTCACCTGGGCCACCCCGTTTTAAAAGATCTGGACACGCCCCTGAGAAGTGAGGAACAGAAAATGAAATAATTATTTTAATGTTTAGAGTAGCAGGAACTCTGAGAGGCTGCAGGGGCATTAGTGAGTTTGCGGCCGCTGCACGGGAGGGAGGGGGGAGAGGGCTGAAGCAGGGGGAGGGGGAGAGGGCTGAAGCAGGGGGAGGGGGCTGAAGCAGGGGGAGGGTGCTGAAGCAGGGGGAGGGGGAGAGGGCTGAAGCAGAGCAGTAAAGATGCAGAAACTACATTTGTTAAAAGAGATGTTTAACTTTGAAAATGTGGGCGCAATTTTAATTGTCAAAGACTCCAGCGAACCAACCCGCTTCAGGTGTACGACGTCATCAACAACTAGTCAAAGTCGACTCGACTTTCATTACTTGACTGTCTACTTTAAAAAAAATTAAGTCATGCAGCCCCCAATCTATACACTCAGTATAAACGTGTTTAAACCTGACATCTATTTAATAATTGAACAACCAGTGCATATTACATGACAAAAATGTTAGTGAAAACCATCAGCTGACTTTGAATCGATCTGAATCGATCTTAACAACACTCGGGTAGAACTGTTTAGCACTCTGATCTCATTTACTGTGATGATGAAAGTAAAACGACTCCATCTGATTTGATCTGCTCAGCGGTCTCTGTTGTACTAAACCAACACGTAACCACAAAGCGCCACAGGAAAGACCAGGACGACCCCTCAGATTAAAGATGTAAAATATAAAGCTATGATCAGACATTTTCTGACGGAGTTCAACTGTTACCAAGTTATCGTCTACGAGTTTGTCAGTCTTTTGTGAGAACTAATTCCTGTCATTCCTAAAACTTTCAGCCACGACTGTACTTGACAGTAAAAATCCATTTGATCTCGATTAACATTTGCTGCTGTATTAAAGCTGTATGCACATCATTTCATTTGTACGCATATATTTTAATAATCTCCCCATTTTTCTTATGCGTTTATTTTGTATCTGTTATGCCAAATACACCACTTGAGTGCCATCCAGTTTCATTACATTTCAGTAAAAAAAGCTTTCTTTATCAGGAGAATTGCAGCTAACCACTAGGAGGAGCTGTTTTGTTCTGGATGAAGAGAATGCTTGACACATTTACTTTCCGCTTGGTGATGCGGCTCGCGGATGGAACGCGCCTCACGACTCGCAGCGTTTATGGTTCATGCGGCTCGTCTCTGCGGTGAGCCAATATTCTCCCAAACTGTAGGGGGCAGCATGGAGCTCTACGGCATGCATCCAACACTACACCATAGTAGAAGTAGAAATGACTGTTTACAACATGGCATTCCAGCATTTTTAACAGCGTCCTCGTCTTTTCCGACAGTGCGAGCTATTTCTCTCCAAGAATTATTAACAACATGTTGATCACGGTGATCTCTGGGAGCTGAATCATACAAATGTCTGTATTTACGAACCTCTGCCATACTAGTTCTTGCCAGTCCGCCATGTTTTTACGCGTCCGACCGTCTGCGTGGTTAGAAAATTTCCTAGGTGCGCGGCGCGGAAAGTTTGGGCCGTGCGGAGGCGCGGTGGAGGGGCGTGGTTGTTAAAATGATGCAATTTCGCCGCGCGGAGCCGTGCGGACCTCGCGGACGCGTCAAGCATAAACTAACCTTAAGGAGGGATATCTGGACCTTTTTCTTTGTTAGTGTTGTATGGAGTATAATCAGACTTGTTAATGTATGGAATTAAGTCTGGATTATGTGAAATCAATTCTAGGCTCTACAAGATGTATCTGTGTGTGTGAAACCAAGCTAACGGCCTGTTACCTTCTCGTGTGTGTGTGTGTGTGTGTGTGTGTGTGTGTGTGTGTGTGTGTGTGTGTGTGTGTGTGTGTGTGTGTGTGTGTGTTGGCAGTAGCCGCCTGAACTGTGATGTCGTAAATCAATGCTGTGCCTTCACTCTGCTGATATGGTTAAAAGATTCATGTTGTGGACATAACCTGTCTTGACCTGAAAAGATGTTGGGAGTAAGCATGTACCGGTATGTTATCCTTTATCCTCTGTTGGAGATGACCAGTTGACCCTGGGCAGAAGAAGAAAAGGGACGGGTAACCACACGTCTCCCTCTGCTGACCAATGCTACGAAAGGAGGTGATGTAATCCCAAAGAAGAAGAGAGGAAAGCCTGCAGGAGGCGCTGAGAAGAAGAAACATGTGAACGGATGAAGACTGGGAGAAGAAAAGGTGACATCATGACATCCAAGATTCATGGTCTCTTTGGGGCCGTTGGAGAAGTAACAAGAAGAGGAACACGTGACCAGGAAGTCTTAAGTCTGAAGCAGCAAACAAAGAAATTATTGTGGGGGGGGGGGGGCAGTAAATAAAAAGGAGCTACTGGGTCTGGAAGAGGGCTTTTTTGATGGGAAGAGTGTGTGAAGTAGAGAGATGGACAGAAGGAAGCTTTTGCTTTGAGCTTTTTGTCTGTGATAATCTGACCCAGTGTCTTCTTTGGAGAGCTTATTCAGCTCAACTTTGCTATAACTCAGTTCACTGGCAAAGAGTTGTTTCACTTATTAACCCGCCTTGTCGGGGTTTCGTTTGGATTATTATTCTTTTTTTAAATAAAACCTAGTTCCTCGAATTCGTGGAACGAAAAAAGGATTCATGAGTGGGGTCTCCTCCTGTCGGTAACCGAGCAAAGGTGAGATGCAGGTTGTAAATGCCATCCCGAGGTGTAATTGATATAAGTGTTTCCTCCATCCTAGGCTACAGGTAAAGTCAGTTGTCTCCTCAGCATAAAAGGAACAGCTGGAAAGGGTCTTAACCTGAAGTGTACATAAGCTTCATGGACATGGATTGACATGGATTGTGAGTAAACCGAGTCTCCCTTCAGCTGCATGAAGTTGATTTTGCCAGAATCAGAGTCTAGGTTAGCGGTGATTGCTAATTAGCTCCTACGGTGTGCAGGCAGATTAAAGAGCGGCTGATATCACGCCCACGCAACATAGAAATACAAGTCAACCCTGAGACGGTAACATTTTTATAAGAGTGAGGCTAGCTTGGGAAGATGGCTTGTAACAGTTAGCATGATCGTTTTAGTGTTTGTTGCAAGCATCAAATTCAGAATGAGCTAATCTGTCAATGTTGAGATCGGTTTCTCAGCTGTATTCAATTATGATGACTATTATAAAACTGCAGTTCAGTTTTTTCACCCACAGTGTACCTAGGATTTAAGCCTTTATAATGGTCGATCTCTTTTTTCTCTCGAACCCACACCAGTGAGCTCGGACTCGAGCTCTTTTCTTACCTCGGGGATTGTTTTTTCATGCGGTCTGTCGGTGGTTATTTTCTTGAGCAGCTTCCGAACAGCCTTCTCTTTATTCAACTTTCGTTGACTTTCCATGTTTTGTCGTCTGACTTGGTTCAGAATAAACTTTGGGATCTAAATGAAGAAGACGGAAAATAAAAAACAGCCTCAGGACACATTTAGAGAAACGTCATCAAAGCGTTGTGTGACGTTTGGATCTTACAGTCCAAAGAAGATCTTGGTATCTGATCAGCAGCCGCACAATGTTGGCCGTATTGGTTGCCATGTAGAACTCCTGCTGCTCCGTAACCTTGGACCGAAAACCTTTGAACATGAAGATGTTGGGTGCCATGACGACAGAGACGTTGTTCAAAGTCATCTTGTTTTTGGCTTGATGATCAATCACACGTTGGAAAAACTCCACTAGAGCCTGGCAAAAAGACATTCCCATCATCAGTGTTGGGCAAGTTACTTCAAAACTGTAATGCATTATTTATTACTTGTTACCCTCATTTTAAAGTAATTCATTACATTACAATATTACTGATTTTAAAATGTAAGGCATTACACTACTTTTGCATTACTCTAAGTTACTTTCACCGAAACAACTTCAGTATGAATCTGGTCATGTGACTCTCAGTGAGCTCATGACATGTATGTGGAAGGTGATGTGGCGTCTGAGCTAGGGTTGCTGTTAAAAACAGTCAGATATAATAACAGTGCTTTAAAATGGTTGTTTATTAAATAAAAGCAACAACAATCTGTACTCTCAGCATGCTGCCATCTTATAGGGCCATCTGAGCAGGGAGTGAGGTGGTGGGGGCTCCAAGCCTTTATTTACCTTGGTCCCCAAATACCTTGATACGGCCCTGGATGTGGGACTGACTTCTGGGGTGATCACATGTATAAATATTAAATGCTTATATATTATTGCTTTTCACTGGTAAAAATGTGTAATGGTGATAAATCTACCTACTTTTTTCTTTTCAAGCACTTTGGTTTGTTTTCTTGATTTTATTTTAACAATTTCTGGCCCTTTCTCTCTCTAACCTTCCTGCATGCTGCAGGTTTTCTCCGTCTTCCAGAAAAAACTGTTTCCTAGACTTCCTACTTTCTAACGATCAGCCAAAGGGATCTTCACATGTGCGGCGCTCCAGCAGTAATGAGTTGAAATCACCGGGGTACAGATTATGAACTCAGCTGAGGCAAGAAAAGCACGTCAGAAAAGCACATAATACCAGAGAATATGCACTGATATGAATGATCGCAAGTGAATTATTTTGTTTTAGTGGAGCGATTTTGTGAATGTTTCAGGGGCCGCGTGCAGGACGCAGCTGGAGTATTTGAGCCGTTGACTGTTGTAAACGCGCAATGAAATTTTCGCGGCGGATAAGATGCGGCTGGCTTGACCGCGGTCCGTTACCGCGTACCGCTGCGTCCTCTCTGCCCGCAAAGCTGAGTCCATAAATGACGTAATATATGCAGATACTGGATTTTTCTTCGGGTTTCCTGCAATTTGAATTTTTAAGGAACACATCTTGATTCTGGGTTTAAAAATGCATTGTAATTACCGCGTTACTGACAATTGTACCGAGTAAATATTACCATTTTCTTTCCCTGTAATGCCTTACATTACCACATTACAGCAAAAAGCAATGCATTACAGTAATTAATTACTTTTGTACTGCATTACTCCCAACACTGCCCATTATAAATGGATTCAGGGTGTAAGGATGTTCTGGTGTGAAAGTGGGATGCCTTTCGGAGCTACCTTCAGAGTATCCCGATTGGTCTCAGGTAACAAGAGGACCAGCAGGTTCAGAGCGTGCAGCTGCTGCTTCTTTGTGGGGAATTCTGTAAAAGACCAGAACAGAAAAGCACGATGTGATCTGAGCTCCGTGGCTGAAAACGTCTCAGAATACAACACAGATACACACTGTTGACAGCAATGAAAGCGTTAAGATGCTCCACGGTCAGTAGGGGGTGGGGCAGTTCCCTGATTAACAGCTTCAAAAGGCTAGCAGCATCATGCTGTTTCAACTGTTTCCATGGAAACGTCCCATCGTAGAAGGCGGACTCGAGCTCCTGGCACAGTGACTGCATTTGAGGTATATAGACAACAATAAACAGGTGTTAATTAAACTTTGATCATGTATTTAAAAAGTTTTCACCTTTTGGATGATGAGGGACACACCTTGACTCTAGTAGCTGCTCCAGGTATCCGTAGCAACCCCTCAGTGTCTAAGCCTTCCTCCTCAATGTACCTCATAAGCTAAAGGAGAATACAAACCACAAAAATATTAAAAACATTACGATGTACGACTCTGAATGTTTGATTTCAGCTGATCTCTGCTGTAAATCCTGAAACCTTTGCGTCTGACTAGGATCCTCACCCTCTGCAGGATGAATGGCACTTTGGTCCCAGGAACCCGCTTTTGGTCTTGTTCCAATAAAGTATTGAGAGGAACGCCGAACAAACCGCTTTCTGTCCACACAAACAAAAACTGAAGATTTGTAATTCATAAAGATGTTAAAAAAAATGATAGCGCCACTAAAAAACATTCAACCATGGGTAACTTAAAGGGACTTTATGGACTTTTGAATTTTTATGCTCGCGATCGCCCCCTCAGGCCAAAAGCGTAACGGCAGCTTCAATAGTAGGCTCGTGCACCAGGCGCGCATGCTGTACGTGCACACTCCTTAAGGAAAATAACAGCTGAGCCAGTCCCTTGTGTGTGTGTGTGTGTGTGTGTGTGTGTGTGTGTGTGTGTGTGTGTGTGTGGGGCCCGGAGGACAGAGGACAGGAGAACGTGCAGCTAATTAATTAAATAATGTGGTTCTGTACCTTTCTCTTCAGCACAGCCGACAAAGGTTTATGATGGGTCAGTCCTCCTGCATGCTCAGATCATTCCCTTCCCTTGTTTGAAAAATTGTTCCAAAATGAAAGTTGAACCCACATCTTTTTTATCTGTGAATTCAATGCCGTTCGGCGAGTCTCAAATAAAAATTTGGGCATCTTACTGTAAAAAAAATACCATTAATGTAAAAAAGAAACTCTAAATAAACTATGTTCACACCCAGAATCAAACCCAGGTCTTCTGCATGAGAGTCAGACATCTTACTAGGTGAGCTAAAGCACCAGTGACGTCCTTGTAACTGTAACTTTTATATCCTTGATGACAGCTGAAACAACGTTCAAAGAACGGTTCGGAGTGAAAATGGCTATTTTGTTGCTAATTAGCAGGAAATATCTAGAAGAAAGTTCTACAGAAAGTAGCTAAGGGTCCTCAGAAATGTGGCTAGCTTTGTCACTAGGCGTTAGGAACAGCGACAAAGTGGCACTGCCTCTCTCTCTGCTGCTAAAGCTACGGATAGCAAATGCTACGGGCGATGCCTGAGCGTGAACGCGCATGAAGCAGCCTGCTCGACCCGAGCATCTCTCTTTTTCTGTGATTTTACAGAAAAACAGGCAATCACAGTAAAAATGCCAGGGCTCATTCTACAGGACCAGGGCATTGCAGGAGAATGTATGAAGAAGAATTTTATTATTTCTATACATGTTTTGGCTGTCAGACTTCCATAATGTCCCTTTAAATAAAAGTGATTAATTCAGTTCTGTTTGTCATCAAAAGCAATGACCGATTTCCTTTTTTGTTTAACATAAAGGCACCAATAATTTTACCCACACCAGTCGATATTTTTGTGTTATTTGAGAATTGTTCTTATTTTTCAGTGTTTCTACCTTTAGCTTTTACTTTCACAGCTTTATGCGCTTTAAGGTCTATCCCAGCAGTGTCAAACAGAGCAGTCACCTCCACCAGCACGAGCCTTTGCACCTTAAGGATTGTTAAAAAAAGAAATTTTTTTTGGAATAGTCTCTTTTTCAAAAGACCAAACATATGTTATGTTTTAGATCTGCTGTTACATTTTTACCTTTTTCATATCCAAAGGAGACAGATCTCCAATTCTGGTCTGACCCGTTTTATCCCGAAGCAGCTTAAAGTTCTAGAGAGAAAAACAAAGTAAAATAGGACAAGAGGAAATCAGTAACTGAAACTGTGAAAACATGAACAGTTAAGAGATTATTCCAATGGAAACCTTTAGCAATACTGACGTGAACCACCAGGTGGCAGTGTAGTCTATAAAAGTTCCTGTGTTGCTAAATTAGCTTTGAATTTTCTGTAATTTTATGAAAAACAAGTTTTCGTTGTGATGATTTATGTGGAAAAGCAAATTTCCCAAGTCTAAACCAGCCCGTAAACCACACAGCTCCAGTTTAACACTAAAAACACTTAACAGGTTAAAATTTAACAAAATATGATCTTAAACGTGTTATTAATCATCCTGCTGTCGCTCAACATCGACTCGGGCTCAAACACAAACTAGGAATGTCCATCACTCATGGCTTGTGCGTCAGTGACTCACTGGTAGTTTGTCGTCAGAGGCATTAAGGCTGGTGGTGACCTTTAACCTTTGATGATTGTCCCAGTAAGAGAGCGCCTGCTCTGAAAAAGCCACTTCAGCGTTCAGTTCCGTCTCAGTTTCTGTAGAAACAAACAGAAATAAAAGCCAGAACAAATAATGGAGATGAACAAAGGCTAAGCGTGCTCAGCTGATGTAAAAGGAGAAGTTACACGGTGCTTTTTCCATTTTAAGGCTTGAAGAGGAACAAAACCCGCACACTTCAATCTGCAATATAATATTTATTCTTCTCATTTATTATCACAGATTGAAGTGTGCAGATTTTGTTCCTCTTTATTCAATCTTTTATCCAGCACCTCAACCCAGATGAGCGGTGTTCCTTCATTTTTTATCCGTTTATAGGCTCGAAATGTTCTCGCTCAATACAGCCAACATGCAGTTTTACTAAAGGGCTTTCTTTGATTTTATCGCAGCCACTGGTAGGACTTCGTCTAAACTTCTTCTTGAGATGAGTTAACTCGCATCACATCTTTAGGCAAAAAAAAACACACACATGAAACACGCTTGTGAGACTCCATGCTGACTAATCCTAAAATGCATATTCCACACACCAGCGGTTGATGCGTCCTTTGGCCTGTTCTCACTTCCTCCTGCGAGTTTCTGAGGATCTTCATCCTGCAACAAACAGATACAGAACAATACAGGATGCTGCGTTTGGAAAGTCACAACAAGCGGTTACACATTACCTTCTCTGTTAGTCTACTCATGGATGAAGTGTGCGGTCAAGTAGAAGACTGGAGTAAAGTCAAAGTTCCCAACTTTTTATTTATAACATATAAAAAAAAAGAAAAAAGACTTGAAACCCGGTGGCGTGACTCGGTTCACGAGTGCCGCCAGACTCTTACTGAGGTTAATGTAAAAATGGGAAATGTTGTTTAACAGAGGAAGATCATAAACTTCAGCATCAACATTCTTTGGTTTCACCTAACAAGGAGACGCTTCATGAAACTACCGTATCGGACGCTGACCCGTATTAATGCTGATATAATGTCTCAGCTATGGTTCAGCTAGCACAAGAGATAAACTACCCAGAACAAATGGTCTGTACTCCTGGAGGCTCGTTGCATGGAAACCTCACGGTGACGAAGAGCCTCCGGATAGTTGACGAGGAAACCAACTCGATATCAACGACCCAGCTGGAGACGGATGAACTGCTACACGCTCAATCATATTTATTAGTGCTGGTTTAAATAACAAAATACAATTTACACCACTTTCAGGGTCATAGATTCCAGCGCAAAAGCACTAGCGTCTAAGAGTGCGATGCACACATCTCATTAACAACATTTTTAGAGTTTAATTAATACATTTGCTGCTCACTGCAAAAGACAGATTACCGTAATTTCCGGACTACAAGTCACACTTTTTTTCCCATAGTCTGGCTGGTCCTGCGACTTATTTACCAAAGTCACTTATATACCAAAATATGGACACCGCGCTGCTGCGGGCCGGCTCCAGACCAGGAATGAGCTCCCCTGCCCCACCATCACCTGCTGGAGACCGTGGCGCGCTGCTGCGCCCTGATTGTTTATTCTGTTATTGTTACCAGTACTAGTCTTGCAATGTGAAATGCTTGGTCTCAGATTTTGTAAGAAAAATAATAAAATTTCCTCCCAAAATACAACTAATAGTCCAGTGCGACTTATATGTGTGTTTTTCTTCTTCATTATGCATTTTATGGTTGGTGCGACTTATACTCCGGAGCGACTTAAAGTCCAGAAAATACGGTACATTAGGGTTGCAACTAAAATGTTAGTAATAAATGTATTTAGTGGTGGAATCTAACAAAGGACTTTGTTACTTAAAGAGCAAGTCACCCCCTACTAGAGTAATACTCCGTTCCCACTTCCTGTTTGAAAAATGCAACAAATGCTGTTGCCTAGCAGACCGGGAGGGCGGAGCTGCTAACAAACACACACACACAGGCTCACAACGACATTGTGACATCATATGGTACCAGCTAACGTTCTAGGGTACCTCTTAGCCAATAGAGATGGCAGATTTAAATTCAAATGCAGTGCAGTTTTTACCTGACAACGGCACAACACTGACAGTTTTAGGCAGAAAATTTAAATATGAAACAAAAATGCACTAAAGTGCAAAACTATTGACTACACGTGTCTGCAGCACGATTAGACACACATTTATATAATTTATCAGAAAAAAAAGTGGATTTGGGGGTGACTTGCTCTTTAAGTACAATTTCTCTGTATCTGTACTTTACTTGAGTAATTTCCTTGAGGGCTACTTTTTCTTTTCTGCTCTACTATATCTTCTAAAAAGTTAAAAAAGCAAAAATACTTTGATTAGCTTTTTATTATTAGTGTTGTGGCTACAGTTGTGACTTGAGCACATTTATGTAATTGTTGGTTAAAGGATGACATCACGCTTTCATCATCTCACCTTTTCAGGAGGTCTGAATATATCCCGAACATCAGGAAGGTGTTGGCGGTTGCGTCGCCGTAGCAACGTCTGATGCAGCGATGCCACTCGGCGTTCTACCGCTGCGGCTTGGGTTCTGGTGAGGGTGGACAGGAACACTGCGCTGTCTTCTTCCTGTCAATCAGAATCTATTTACTCATCCTGCAGATGTCCTTCCAGGTTAATCTACTGTGTCACACGCGGCATTCCATGTTTGTACGGAAAAAGATCTGACACCTGATCCTGGTCATCAGCTGCTGATGAATCATCAAACAGTCGTGTTAGCCCCGCCTCTGCAAGCCATGCTTCCTCCTGCTCTCCTTCTGGAAGAAACAAACACTGGCACATGACTGACGAGGGACGATTTTATTTATACGTTTAGATTTTGTGATAAACCAGCAGCAAAAGAAGCATGTCTTCAGTTTAACAAGAAAAATACATAAAAAGGATTTATTTAAGCATGTTTACATGAACACGGGTCACTTAAACACTCACACAGATGTGGTGAAGAGACAGAACTGATCACAGACTTTAGACAGGAAGAGGATGTATAATCGTGAGGACAATAGGCTTTAAGGCTAACCTATAAAAATAATGTGCAATGTAAAAAAGCAGTTTCCACAAGTCTCAGCTTGGACCAATCCCTCTGCTTCAAATATGCAGCATTAACATTTCCTTAGACAAAACATGCCAAGAACATATCAAATGAATGCAAACCTCTGTTCAGTAGCTCGAGTTTATAAGATTTAGGAGGAAAATCTCGTTAAGACACTAATTTCTGACACACTTTAGATTTAGATGTTATGCTGAAATAAACTCACTCCTGTTCCGACTAGCTCACTTTGTAATCCCAACCGTTTTTATGTCATTGAGAATTAAAGAAAATGCAAAAAGGAGGGTAACATTTATGTCCCTTCCACATCTTCTCAAATGCATCCCACCTTCAGGAACTTTCTGCTGCTCCTCCTCTTGAGCTTCTCCTTCTCCCCTCCCTCCTCCACCTCCTCCGTCTGAACTGGTGATATTCTCCACTTCCTTCCAGTAGTCATCCATCTCCAGCTCGTCCAGCGAGTCCTGGAAAACAGACAACGTTTGGGAACCGCTCCCCAGCAGTCTCGGGTCCTTGTTCATGCTTCTGTCCTCACCTGTAGTTTGTCTTCCTTGATTTGTTTGTGGGGGAAAAAAACAGGTCAGGATGTGATGCAACAAGATGATGAAAAAAAAACCCATCAAGTCAGAACAGGCCCCCCCGACAGCAGCTGGCTGCTCATTTGAACTCCGGCAAGGTCCTCAAAAGAATGTAAACTTTCTTTAAAATGTCTCTAAACTAAACAAACTTATGAGCTCATTTCTGTTTGATGCTATGACCTTTATTAGGATGCATTCAACTGAGTGTTTGATGAATAATGAATGAATGAATAATTTCTAACAGATCTTTTGTTTCAAAATGTACTGTTCTGAATTTTATTTTAATTTGCCTGTTGCTGTTTGGGTTTATATGTTTGTAAATGATCAGCCTCAGTGACACATGTATATATTTAAATTGGGAATTTTTAAATAAACGACTCAACTTTTATTTAACATGAATGTGATTTATTCAGAAAGGTGGAAGTGGTTTTCTCTGCGGGGGCCAGTAGGGTGGCCACGCTCCCCCTAGCCACCTCCTAGGGGCGCCACTGGCTTAAGCCACTTCAGTAAACACCTCTCCATGCGGAGGAGCAGCGTCTCCACTCAGAACTCCCCTTGGATGGCAAACGGATCATAAAATGTATTGAGAAACAACATTTCTTCCCCATTCCTACCTGAGAACCGCTGCGCTGACAAGAGGGCTTGTGTCTGGTTCTGGTATCAGGACTGTGCCTGGGACTGGAGGAAGGATGGGGGTTGGAGCAAACAGCAGAACTTGAACGGAGGAGCGACGGTCCGTTAGCGCTGCTGGGGTTTGCACTATTTGTGCCAGTAGACTGTTCATATTTATCTTCTTGCACATTTGGGTTCTGATGAAGGGAGTAGTGGCCCGTTTTTCTGCTGTGGATGAGAGGCACACATAGAAACAATGAAAAGTGGGGTAACGAAGACACAAATCTGATGGATTTTGGATGCAAACTAACATTTTTTTACCTTTAAGAAAACAAAAGTACCGTTTCACTTGTTTTTGCACTTTGCACCGTGGTTATCAGTGGCATTATGACTTTTATGAGCTCCGACCATAAAATAAATTCCTGGAATATAAATGTTGCCTTTTATAGCAGCAGCACAAACCTCAGAGTGTGACTCAAGGACACGTAAACCAAAGAAAAACCAGCAGAATTCCCAACTATGCCGTTAATGAGGGCAACATCTGCTGGGACTTATAATGGCAGCTCTTCTGCTCTTTGGGCTTGGCTCTTCTAGATAAACATGTTCACTACAGCTCTTTACTGCAGATGGAAAGAGCTGCTAATGACAGCCGAAAACATCTATAATTAATAAGTGAGAGACTCTAAAGTTCAACATCTTCTGACAATGTTGCAGCACGAGTCGGTAAACAACTTGATAACAGTGCAACTGTGAGTTACAGCTTCAACCGAGAGGACACAAACGCAACACAGCAGGCTTTGTCTAAGAAGAGGCGAGGGATGGTGAAATCTCAGAGGGGGGGGGTTACCTCCCGCTGACATCAGAAAACGGTTAAGTGCCTTTCAGCGTGAAGGCTGGAGCCAAACCGAAACGGCACATCTATTCACCTGTTTTCTGTTTTTTTAATCTAAAGTTTAAATTGTTTGTTTTTTGCATTCTGATGGCATCCTAAATGTTCACGAGATTATTGCTGTAAAGATGGAAAAGCAAAGTGTTGTGACCTTCTCTAGAGATTGAAAATGAAGGGAGGATTTGAGTATTGCAATAATAATAATGCAAAATCACTCAAATTAGCTTACGTGCAAGAAAAATATATGCACATATGAAAACTGTTAGATATAACTTCATCAGGATGAATGCAACTCCTCAGAGTAAGCTCACCAGGCTGTCACAATGCACCATCATAAATGAACAGGGCTGTATATCCGTCACTAGAGCTGCTCAGAAGTAACAAATATTAATTTGTAACCAAAATAGTAATTTTATCATTAGGAAGAACAGCAGTTTAGTTACTAAAGACCAAAAAAACCCTAAAAATGCTATTATGAGCTGTTCTGGTGCTTAGAAAATACAGATCAATTCTATTTAAAAGGAAAGATAACACTTCCTTTTAGGAGTTCTCACGGGATGCCTAAAAATATGTATTAGTGTGAGATTTTTAATCTTTGAAGTGGCTTTCTGTGGAGAAGTTGAAAACAATTACTGTATTGTAATGGGAGACAGTCCAGTACAGCCGAGGGCACTTCCTGTTGCTATTTAAGCCAGAAGTACCAGTCATGCAAAACTAACACAGGTAAAAGTTTACCAAAGTGTTGGCTTGAACCGGTCTGCTATCACTTTTTAGGAAGACTTTCGGTCTTCACCAAGCTTGTACTATCTGTTAGCGTGTCAATCTGGTCAGAATGAATCTGAATCTCCAAATTGAAGCCATTCATGTATCTTTAAATAGCTACAATAGTCATAAAGTTTCCATAAAAATACTCATAAAAAGACCAGAACTATCTGCAAAGATAAACAAATGCGTTATGAAATGAATAAACCTGCCTGATACTGTAAAATCACCAGAAAGCTGTAAAATAGCTGAAACCTTTGCCTGTTTGGTTAGATAATGACCGAGTCATATGCAGAAGAAGAAGAAAAGGTGACATTAGATAAAATACGATAGATGAAAAATGGTTCTCGACCGGAAAAGGGTGGCTTGCCAACTCCGGGTCGGAGGAGAGGTCCTACCTCAAGTGGAGGAGTTTAAGTATCTCGGGGTCTTGTTCACGAGTGAGGGTAGGAGGGATCGGGAGATCGACAGGCGGATTGGTTCGGCGTCTGCAGTGATGCGGACGCTGAGCCGATCTGTCGTGGTGAAGAGGGAGCTGAGCCAGAAAGCCAGGCTCTCGATTTACCGGTCGATCTACGTCCCAATCCTCACCTATGGTCATGAGCTTTGGGTAATGACCGAAAGAACGAGATCGCGGATACAAGCGGCCGAAATGAGTTTCCTCCGTAGGGTGGCCGGGCTCAGCCTTAGAGATAGGGTGAGGAGCTCGGACATTCGGGAGGGACTCGGAGTAGAACCGCTGCTCCTCCGCATGGAAAGGAGCCAGTTGAGGTGGTTTGGGCATCTGGTCAGGATGCCTCCTGGACGCCTCCCTGGGGAGGTGTTTCAGGCATGTCCTGCCGGCAGAAGGCCCCCCAGGTCGACCCAGGACACGTTGGAGAGGTTACATCTCCAATCTGGTCCGGGAACGCCTTGGGGTCCTGCCGGAGGAGCTGGTGGAGGTGGCCAGGGAGAGGACGGTCTGGAGCTCCCTAGTTGGGATGCTGCCCCAGCGACCCGGACCCGGATAAGCGGAGGAAGACGACGACGACGATAGATGAAAAAATGGATTAATGGAAATAAATGATGAAGTGATAAACGGTGCATTGAAAGGAACAACAGAGATTATTTTATGTATTCATTAATTGTGAATTATCCACATAATTCAGCATTACTCTGAAAGATACCACTGAGCAAGGCACAAACCACAGCAGACTGCCAATCCCAGCCTTTAAGCTACCACACACGGTTTGATTACATGTTTGACCAACAGTAAACTATCTTCATTTCCATTTTCCATCATTGTCCTTCTCATTTTTTTTCTTCCTCATACGACTCTGTCCTACGACCTCTAGATTAGAGACCTCCTAGATTATTTTGCTTGTGTGGAATGACAGAAACGTTCCATTTAGCAGATTTTTCTTGGACATTTGATTTAAATCAGTGAGATGAAGATAAGCTCATGATGAGTTATTCAGTCAGAAAGAGTTTTAGGTAAATCTTTATATTCGTGACCTTCTTGTTTTCTGATGCTACTATGTAAATAAAGCCGCCTTGCCTTACTAGGTGACTGCGGAGGTCGGAGTCCAGTGAGCTCATGCTCTAGAAACGAGTTAGAGATGATCTGAGCTTCGTGACATGGTGCCTTATCCTGCTGGAAGTAGCCACCAGCTCCACTGTGGTCATAAACGTGGTCAGCAACAATAATCAGGTAGGCTGTGGTGTTAAAACCAGGCTCAGGGGGTCTAAAACGGGACAAGATCATCTTCCCCACCACCACCAACTGCAGCTTGAAGCATCACAAGGCAGGATGAATCCATGCTATTATGTTGGCGCCACCAAACTCTGACCCGGTTGCATGAATCACGTCATCATCACGGCTCCTGCAAGGGGTCAGGTGTCGTTGAGCCTACCAGGTAAACTAGAGGTTTCCATTGCTGGCGGTCTTGTGCCATTCTGCATTCACCACAGCAAATCTGAATCGTTGAACATCGCTCGCTACAACGAGTGCGGGGTTTACCTCGTGGTCGTCTCCAGCCGGTGGACCTTTTATTTTGCCATCGCCTTGCTGTCGGACTTCACAGAGCCCTGCCAGTGTGATGTCATAGCGGCAGAGCTCTCGGGACAGCAGGGTGGCTGCTCGGGGTGAAGGAGTATCTTAATGTTCCAGGTGGCCACGCAGGTCTTGTGGCAAAGTTTAATCCATACTCGTTGGTCAGGGGCAGGCTTGGGTCTGTTACCGTGTGGAGCAGTCCAGGTTCTCTCTTTCTCTGGTAGGTTTTTTTAAACAAGGGTATTCTTCTGAGTGGGTTGTGAGCCCTCTGCGGGATAGTCGGTTGGCGGGGCTGCCGCCTCACAGCGTTCGTCTGGAACCTACCCTGGACACCAGCCTGCCAAGGGTGATCATCTGAATGTTGCAGCTGAAATCCAGACTCGTCAGTCCAGAAAACGTCTTTCCAGACTCTTCTAGTCCAAGAGTTATCATGGAGACCATTAAACTCTAAAGACGGTTATGGGTGAGAATGCTAGATCAGACTTACTCACACTGATAACTGCCGCACGCAACATCCTTATTCTTCTCCATTTTGATGCTCAGTTTCAAACTTCAGCTAATCATCTTCGCAACATCGATGCCCAAATGCAGCTAGTTGTTCCTGCTGCTGTGATTAGCTGCTTAGCTATTTGTGTAAGAAGCGAGTGAACAAGAGGAGTTAAACGAAGGACTGTGGTGTATATTAAAAATTGCAAAGTCAAACTATAAATATATATTTCGATGTTAGCTTAGCAAGTGAAATGTTAACCCTCTCAGGCTCAAATTAAGCTTTGGTAACAGGACGAAAAACTTAGTCCTTCAGGGGTACTTCTGAGTAAAAAATAATGCTCGTGAACTACGTATGTGGAGTAACCAGGTAGGTAGGTTTTAACTGTTGCACATCTGCAACGCCTGCCTCCAGAGGGTTAAAAATTGTAATAAAATTCTGCAGACAAACAACGTGCACATCTGTTTGGATATAACGCATCACTTTCTGCTCTCCAACAAAAACATTTTTACAACAATTTAAACTTAAAATAGATACAAAAGGCAACAACAATAAACCCATTAACGCCATTAACGCTAAGCTCAAACGTGTGTTTACTATTCCACCATCCTCTTTAGAATATTTAGTCTCACTCAGGGTACATGGGCTGCCCTTGTGAATAAAACAAACTCACTTCCATACAGAACATGCACGGGTGAACTTTAAAGGTAAACAGAGCTGCAGCTGCACGTTTTGGTCTTCGTACCTTTTCTCACACACCTTTTATCAGCCGCTGACAAACACGAAGGGTGTAAGGGCAAGAAGAATGTGTGAGATTAGGGAAACAGAGGAAACAGGAATAACGCGAACCATCATTCAGCTCCGATGAACAGAACAGGAGTCTTTCTCTTATGAAGTAAACTGTGCTAATGTGTGAACACATGATCACAAGTGTGTGTGTGTGTTTTAAAAAGTCTTCACAGCACATATTAATAGCCGATATGTGGATAGAGGACACCCTTAGAATAAATGGTATTTGACAGGTTAAAAGGCTAAAGTACTCGTGTTTTCCACTAACAACTTCACAATGTTGTACCGCTTTGATAACGACTTTTATTTAAAGGGACATTATGGAAGTCTGACAGCCAAAACATGTATAGAAATAATAAATGTCTTCTTCATACATTCTCCTGCAATGCCCTGGTCCTGTAGAATGAGCCCTGGCATTTTTACTGCGATTGCCTGTTTTTCTGTAAAATCACAGAAAAAGAGAGATGCTCGGGTCGAGCAGGCTGCTTCATGCGCGTTCACGCTCAGGCATCACCCGTAGCATTTGCTATCCGTAGCTTTAGCAGCAGAGAGAGAGGCAGTGCCACTTTGTCGCTGTTCCTAACGCCTAGTGACAAAGCTAGCTACATTTCTGAGGACCCTTAGCTACTTTCTGTAGAACTTTCTTCTAGATATTTCCTGCTAATTAGCAACAAAATAGCCATTTTCACTCCCAACCGTTCTTTGAACGTTGTTTCAGCTGTCATCAAGGATATAAAAGTTACAGATACTGTGAATGTTACTAGAGTGTAGCTCACCTTGTAAGATGTCTGACTCTCATGCAGAAGACCTGGGTTTGATTCTGGGTGTGAACATAGTTCATTTAGAGTTTCTTTTTTACATTAATGGTATATTTTTCTACAGTAAGATGCCCAAATTTTTATTTGAGACTCGCCGAACGGCATTGAATTCACAGATAAAAAAGATGTGGGTTCAACTTTCATTTTGGAACAATTTTTCAAGCAAGGGAAGGGAATGATCTGAGCATGCAGGAGGACTGACCCATCATAAACCTTTGTCGGCTGTGCTGAAGAGAAAGCTACAGAACCAAATTATTTAATTAATTAGCTGCACGTTCTCCTGTCCTCTGTCCTCCGGGCCACACACACACACACACACACACACACACACACACACACACGGGACTGTCTCAGTTGTTGTTTTCGTTAAGGAGTGTGCACGTACAGCATGTGCGCCTCGTGCACGAGCCTACTATTGAAGCTGCCGTTACACTTTTGGCCTGAGGGGGCGATCGCGAGCATAACAATTCAAAAGTTGGTAAAGTCCCTTTAAAGTTTTTTCACACACAAAGTAAGAAGTATTAGGCTTTTCCTATGAAAACAGAGCATGATGCAATGAGTATCTTAATAATCAAATGTGTTGAAACATTCAATTATCTTTTGTATTAACACACATGCCCTATAGGTTATAAATTTTAAGTCGCTTTGGATAAAAGCGTCAGCTAAATGAATAAACATAAAATAACAAACACATTTTGTAGCATTTGAAGCCTGCCCTATGCTTTTACTCATATTAGGTCTTTATTTACCACAATACATTTTTAATTAACATAATTGAGAATTTTTCTATATAAAATGGAGACAATGAGGAGAAAAGGCAAGATACAACCACTTTAAACAATAAACAATGGGGGGAAGGGGTTGGCAATGCTCTGTGTGTGTGGCATTTCCATTTGGACCAACAGCTGTCAGCTGGACCATACGAAGACAGAGGACGCCTGTGTCCTCCCCCTCAGTGGCCGACCGCTTCATCACATCATCTGCCCTTCAGTTCTGATGGATCTAGCAGAATATTCCCTCTTCTTGGATAGGTTTGCCACTGCTAACAAAGTTGTACGCGCGTCTGATGACAGTATTCTATTTCAAGTGTTCAAATTACAGGTGAGTGTGATCTAATTAACACTATTAACCAGGTCAGACGGTGTAGACGGTTTGCAAATCCCAAACAAGCTGCTGAACATTCTGACTTCCTTCAATCAGATGTACGAAAACATCACCTTTCCAGACTGCCGGAGTTACGAAAGCCAAGGCTCCGTAGGTCAGACGTCCGAAAACCTTACGGCCTGTTTGCTTCTCGTTTCCTGAGCTGAAGGAAACAATAACTACCTAACTTGGAGTACACAAGTCAACCTAGACAGGTCCCACACGCTCAGCAGAGTCAGACAAAGGAAGTCTGTAATGTGAGGCTAGCTCAACAAGCTATCTGGAGCACATGCACCCACAGTATAGATCCACACACACACACACACACACACACACACACACACACACACACACACACACACACACACACACACACACACACAGGATTCTGAGAATCCCAGACCTACAATGCTGCCCCTAATCTGATCCCCAGGCAGTTTCACACCTTCAGGAATGCGACCAAAGCATCTTGTGGCCCAAGTCTGAGCCCGACGACACCCAAGAGTAAAGGACGTAAGGAGGAGCATGGACGTAATTTTGGGGGGGGGGGACAGGGGGGACATGTCCCCCCCACTTTTTCCAAAGTCAAGTTTTGACCCCTGCACTTTTTACCATCCAAAAACAATATTACGCTATATTAAATTGACACTGGTTGAGCTCTAGGACCAAGCGGAAAACAACCGTTTGTGTTGAAGCCGGTTTCACATTAGAACATACTGTAAAGATCCCCCCCCCCCCCCCGTGTCCCCCCCACTTCTAAAGTGAAAATTACGTCCATGTGGAGGAGAGATGTGGAAATACGTTTGGAAAAAGACTTCTTTGCAGAACTTTGAACACATTTGACCAAACTCCAAATAAGATCTTCTTCCTCGTAGATGTTTACATTTTGAGATCACAGTCCTGGAGGTTTGGAGCTGATTATTACAGCAGTGATGGAACTATGAATCCTACTACAACAGATTAAATATACACACAGGAGTGTGTGGGCTCCGACTTGGCTGAACTTATAAAAAAAGAGTAATAGCCAAGGTGAGACTGCTGATTAGGATTAAGGTAAAGGAAAAACATCTAACCCAAGGTCAAAGGCCAAGCTCTCCCCAGGCTCCTGCTGGCCTCCTGTCGGACGCACCCCCACCATGATGAGTCGCTTTATTCAGCTATTCTGTAACGTCAGCACATTCACGCTAAAAAAAAGGAGGAAAACACTGCGAACTTTGCCCACTTGCTCATAAACACACACACAGCCTGCTTTAATGACTATGGTGGCTACCAGCCACAAGTCCCACCTGAGCAGGTCGCTCTCCCGGTCTGCTCCTGACGGACAGCTGGACGAACACAGTCCCGTCTGCTGTAACAGTTCGGCGTTGCTGTGGTAACCCGTTAAAACCACTCCCTGTGAAGCCTGGTGCCGACTCATGTTTCTCCTCCTTTTCTTCTTCTTTCTGCTCCACACACGGACGACATCCGAACACCAATCGATAGGTACTCAAGTCTAAATGTCCGCCTACGTCTTATCTGGGGGTGTTTTCAAGCTGAACTTGTTTTTGTCCCTCGGCCTGACTCTTCTCGTCTTTCTCGCTCTTCGGCTCGCGCCGCGCGCTCTGGACTGGGACTGGATTACAAACTGACCGCAGATCAGCGAGTCATTGGCCCAAACTCACAGGTCAGCTTTTTGTAGCCGAGAGCGCCCCCTGCTGCTCTTAAGGGGAAATTACCACTTCCTGCAGGAAAAACGTGACACCGATGGGAAACAAGCCAAGAATGAGCCTACTCTAGTTTATTTCAGCCAATTTGACTGAAATTGAGCCAATATCTTAAGTGCTAATAGCAAATATAAGATATTTGTTGAAATTATAAATAAATTGTTTACCACTGGAGTACACCCAGTCAGTAACCAATAACTGGGTCGATTGTAATGAAAATGTGAGCTATGAATCAATTATCCTCCATTAGATTGAAATCAAAATCATGAAACATTTTAAGACAAAAATCAGAATCCTTTATAGATTACACAAGACCATATAAAAAGGTTTTGGATACTGAAATCAACATTTGTGTAAGTTTATGAGTGAATCAGAAAGTACAATATTTATCCAAAAGCTACTATTTGATGAGCTTAAAATATTACCCATTATTGAGTTTTGTAGGGGAAAAAACAGTAAATACCTACTGATTGAAAATAAGAAAATACTGATAGTCTTGAATTAAATGGCATATGTGCCGGTACCACACGTGGGAAAAATTCAAAAGTCTACAGTCCTAAAACCTTACTCAGACCTTTGCAATGAACACATCAAAAAGAGAAGATTTTTACAACTGATTGATTTCAAAGAGGTATTATCACACAAACATGCAGATCAACTCGGTTTTTCTTACCGGAAATGAAAGTACTCTGTTATTCTGGAGCCCATTGTGTCCATCTGTCTTAACCGTGTTTCACAGAGCATGACCTACTGGCCACATACTGGAGATGGGAGTGAAACACTGTGACAAGTGGATTACACGGTGAGGTCAATCTGATTTTTCCTTGCTCCTCCCAGCCTCTGATCTGATCCAGTCCTTAAAGCCCCTTCGTCCCACCACTCTGCTCTCATTAATCTGTTCATCTCACCTTCGGCATCCAACAGGATCTCCTACTGGCAGATGCCTCGACACCACATACGTGTCACAGCAGCACAACTAAACATGTGAATTATTGTACAGTTAAATAAGGCCTAGCATATTGTTTACTAAGATAAACCTAGAGATTACAACCAAAAGGACTGATCAGCTAAGGGCTAGTCCAAGTAGAGACAAGATCAAAGTGTTCTGCTATCTGATTGGTCATACGGGACCATGCAAATGTTCTCTTATAAACCTTCACACCACCATCTATTCGTTTACACAGATGTTTACATGTAATTTTATGGTTACATCAGGGTAACTGCAGGTTTATGGGAGCCAAATTTAAGACTAAGACCTTTTTAAGGCCACTTTGACCAAATTTAAGCTATTTTTTAAAATTAAATTTAAGCTATAATTTCCAGCTATAGCCTGGAACCGGTGCCAACCATGTCACGAACGTGGGATTAGCCATCCATTTACCATTAAACTTCCCCATGGCGCAAGCTCCCACTAGCTTAACCAGCTAATGTGCTCATTTAAAAATAGCCCCCTTTCACAACCAACTGAATGTATATGGTTCCACTTATGCCAACATCGCACACAAAAATGCTGGACTAACTAGAAATTCACAAAAATTTCATAGAAATAAAATAATCTAGTTTATTGGGTCTTTGGTAATTTGAGACCTTTGGAAACTGTATTCTGTATCTTTCTTCCTGGCACTCGCAGAGTACAGACGCTTCTCTTTTTGCTCTCTTATCTTTTTTTCCCCAAGGCTCTTTGTCCTGTCTGCCCACAGAGCACTTCTCTGCATTTCTTCTGAAAAACCCTATTTTTAACCATGGACTTGATAAATTGGTCATTCAATGCGATCGATAAGATTTTTTCAACAATGAGAACGGAGCAGGGGGCTCCCACATGCCCACAGGGGACACACCCGGTGGCATATATGCTGGATTCCTGGAGGGAATGGAAGATCGTTTGCCTCTCCCAGCTGTCCATTGAGGATGTCGAAGACGTGTGGATATTCGGCCTGATGATCACTGGATTTCTCCTGATTGGAGTGGGAGGACATCTGGTTTTCTGGAAATTTGGGAAGACGGGAGCGATTGGAGGGCGACCCGCACCCACGGAAAGCACCGTCTGTGTGGAGACTTCTCAGACTGGGACGTTACTCGAGGTGAATCGTAAGCTGGACAATGTTCTAGCTGCGATACCGGTATTAGTGCGCAAAATGGATGTCATCTCGGAGAGTCACCGGACGGTGTGGACAAGTTTTAAAAACCCAAAATTGGCTTCACTGAAGGACTGGAATGATCAGTTTAAAGACTGAAGGCAGAGGAAATTATCTCAGCCTGACCCAAACAAATTCTTGTTATTCGAATCTGACGCCCTGGTAGCCTTGAGCGGCTACAAACCCCCCACGAAGGAATGCAGACAAATGCTGAGAAAACCTGACCTTAAACACCCACCCCCACCCCCGCCTTCGGATTGGTGGACTTCAGCCTGGCGAGGTCATCAACCTGCAGGAGTCAATGTGCTCTGCGCTTCTCCCAAGATCTCCCTCCCACCTGTGGCTACAGTGGCTGAGCGCCGTAGATGGCTGCTCTTGCTGGGGGAAACAGGATCCCAGCCCCCCCCCCTTCCTATTGGAGTCTCATGTTGGGTTGTCTGAAGTCTGTTGCATATTTGTTGAGGTGTTTTTTGCAGAGCAAAGCTGCCCTCCTGGTGGGAGGGCAGCTGTGAAGTGCCTTTTTTTCCCTCCACCTGAACCAGTCCTCATGTGACCCTCTGATCTCTATTAAGGTGGCGCGACTCAGGGTTGTGAATGACCACAGTCACCAAATCTTGTCATGTGTCTTGCCCATGCATGTCTGATCTCAGAATTGTGTGTACTGAAACTCTAATTTCCCTCTGGAATCAATAAAGTATCTTTGATTGATTGATTGATTGATTTAAGGATTATTTGTCATTTTTAAGGATTTTCAAGGCCTTAAATTTGGAAAAGTAAATTTAAGACTTTTTAAGGACCTGCAAAAGTAAACAGCAGCATATAAATGTATCCCTTTGGCTGCATTCAGGGGTCACGCACAGTAGGGATTTTTAAATAGCTTTTGTGAAGTAATGATGTAGAACTAAAATTATCACACTAAAAAAGTTTAAAAGACATTGTTCACACGAAACATTAAATTAAGGAAACAAGATGGCAGCAATCTGCTTTGGCTGCATTTGGACTAGCCGTTAGCTCATCAGTCATGAAGGACGTGAACTCTGAACAGGCCATTTTGTTAACAGACACCTCAACATAGACGGAACACATCTTAAATAATGAAAACGTAACATTTCAGATTTTTTTTAAACAAACAAGACATATGGGGGTGAAAAAGGTTTGAATTTATTCGTCACCAACTTCAAGAGTGATCAGAAACAGACTTAAAGTTAACACCATGTAAAAATAAAGAATGTAAAGAAAACACCAACCTGTGAGCTACAATAACAAACACTAGAAAAAAATACTCTTTGCAAATAAAGTACAAAATACATCAACACTTTTTCCTTTTTGAAACATAAACAAATTGCCAGAAAGGGAAGGAAAATAAACAGATGACTCTTTAACCTGCAAAAACAAAAAACGGCGTCTGAACTCGGTCCACCAAGCACGCCAAATTCATCTTAGTTCTGTTTACTAGCTTACTAGAACTTGATAAAGTACAAGGTCTTTGTGTACACAAGACAAAAATGAGTAAATTACCTGCTGAATCTCACATCTTCTCAGGAGCCGTCACCTTGCTGAACATCTTCGAGTAAATGTCCTTCTCTTTATCCAAGCTGCTTTTGTAGCACCTGGAAAAGACAAACATCCAAAAGAGAAAATGCTAATTAAAGGGACTTTACGGACTTTTGAATCTTCATGCTCGCGATCGCCCCCTCAGGCCGAAAGCGTAAAGGCAACTTCAATAGTAGGCTCGTGCACGAGGCACACATGCTGTACGTGCACACTCCTGAACGAAAATAACAGCTGAGACAGTCCTGTGTGTGTGTGTGTGTGTGTGTGTGTGTTTGACCCGGAGGACAGAGGACAGGAGAACGTGCAGCTAATTAATGAAATAATGTGGTTCTGTACCTTTCTCTTCAGCACAGCCGACAAAGGTTTATGATGGGTCAGTCCTCCTGCATGCTCAGATCATTCCCTTCCCTTGCTTGAAAAATTGTTCCAAAATGAAAGTTGAACCCACATCTTTTTTATCTGTGAATTCAATGCCGTTCAGCGAGTCTCAAATAAAAATTTGGGCATCTTACTGTAAAAAATATACCATTAATGTAAAAAAGAAACTCTAAATGAACTATGTTCACATCCAGAATCAAACCCAGGTCTTCTGCATGAGAGTCAGACATCTTACTAGGAGAGCTGAAGCTCCTTTGTATCTGTAACATTTATATCCTTGATGACAGCTGAAACAACGTTCAAAGAACGGTTCGGAGTGAAAATGGCTATTTTGTTGCTAATTTGCAGGAAATATCAGAAGAAAGTTCTACAGAAAGTAGCTAAGGGTCCTCAGAAATGTAGCTAGCTTTGTCACTAGGCGTTAGGAACAGCGACAAAGTGGCACTGCCTCTCTCTCTGCTGCTAAAGCTACTGATAGCAAATGCTACGGGCGATGCCTGAGCGTGAACGCGCATGAAGCAGCCTGCTCGACCCGAGCATCTCTCTTTTTCTGTGATTTTACAGAAAAACAGGCAATCACAGTAAAAATGCCAGGGCTCGTTCTACAGGACCAGGGCATTGCAGGAGAACGTATGAAGAAGACATTTATTATTTCTATACATGTTTTGGCTGTCAAACTTCCATAATGTCCCTTTAAAGTTTTACATTGATGTCATTTTCAACATATTGTGCTACGATTGTCACTCAGTTAGCCACAGGAATGAGAGCAGCTCCTTAATGAACTCTGCTTACATCGCCACTTTCCTCAGAAGGTTGTTGATGTCGGAGTCAAACGGCTTCCTCGCTTGAGCAGAAATGAGGCAACTCTGAGCACACTCATACTCAGACAGCTCCATGTAAGCCTAGGACAGAAGACACAAGTCTGAATAAGATCAATCAATCAATCAAAGCTTTATTTACATCATTTTACATCTAAAATGGCTCTGAAGTTTGCTTTGCTGAAACAAAGCTGTTTAAAACTAGAGAAGATTAATTCTGACACAGTGGGACAATATCGGAGTGCTAAAAGTCCAGTCTGACCTGTCCACAGCGGTAAAGAGCCTTTGTGTTGGTAGCATCTATCGCTAAGGCTTTTTTGCCGTACTTGAGGGCTCTGCGTGGGTTCTCCAGGCGGAGCTCGGTGAGAGAACAGTTCAGATGGAGAGGCAGCAGAGCCGCCTTGATCTTCTCCTTCTCTGGTTCACTCTGTGCTGTTCGGTTTCCCAGCAGAGTTGCTGCCTGTGCAAAAGCAACAAAACACACTCCCGTCTGAACTAGTTCACATTAAAGAGCAAGTCACCCCCAAATCAACATTTTTTTCTGATAAACTATATAAATGTGTGTCTAATCGTGCTGCAGACACGTGTCGTCAATAGTTTAGCACTTTAGTGCATTTTAGTTAAAATTTTAATTTTCTGCCTAAAACTGTCAGTGTTGTGCCGTTGTCAGGTGAAAACTCTGCACTGCATTTGAATTTAAATCTGCCATCGCTATTGGCTAAGAGGTACCCTAGAACGTTAGCTGGTACCATATGATGTCACAATGTCGTTGTGAGCCTGTGTGTGTGTGTATTTGTTAGCTGCTCCACCCTCTCGTTCTGCTAGGCAACAGCATGTATTGCCTTTTTCAGACAGGAAGTGGGAGTGCAGTAATACTCTGGTAGGGGGTGACTTGCTCTTTAAGATAAAATGCACACACCAAAGAGAACTATTAGCTACAGAAGTAGAAAACCTAACTGTACCCGTTTATAGTTATCTTTGGCGTTTTCATATCGGCTCTGGTTGAAACAGCGGTTGCCGAAGCTGCGCAGTGTGTTGACGACGGTGAGGAACATGGGGAAAGAAACGGCATTCTGTTCCTCCTGAGGACAAAAGCAGAAAAGCCACCAATTTACTTAAATCATTGAAGTGCGTGTTTGAAATGCTGTGTAGTTTTCTTTTAGGTGCATCTCAAACGAAGGAAAAGCACTCGTTCTGCACTGGTTGTTCCTGAGGAGAACTGGTGCCTAACTCCTGAGGTCACTGGGCGAGAGGCACAGGACAGGAGACACACTGGACAAGTCGCCAGTCCATCACAGGGACAGAAACTGACTGGAAACAACCATTCATGGTTTTGGTCTGTAGAGGAATCCAGAGTGTCTGCTGAAAATCTAGACATTCACAAAGACAACATGTGATCTCCGTGCAGCAAAGCCACAGCTGGGATTTGAGCCTGCAGCCTTCTCGCTGTCATAGAACTCAAGTTGTGTCTATTGTAGTAGAATCAAAAAGCCATACTTCTCATTTACCAAGAACAAATGAAGAGAAGTACAAATCAGGCTGGCAGCTGATCGAGCATGTGTAACACCTAAGTGAAAAAAATACCAGTTTACACAGCAGCATCCCTACCGGACTCCTCGCGACATAATCATCAACCAATCCTGAGTCAAGATAGTCGAGGAGCTGGACCTCGTACAGGATCGTGGCTGAAGCAGGGATCAATGGAGGACAGCCCATGTCTCCGTAGGCATACCGGGGCTGGAAGAGGAAGCGTGAGAACTCCCCTCTCTTCATGGTCAACAGACCCATCTCCAGTCCAGCTAATGTCACCTCTGTTAAAATTATTTAAAAACCATTCAAGCTCAAAATGTGATTTACTGAGCAGCCTGGATGAATTCCTACCTTTCCCAAGCTTCATCAGTGGGGGGTGCTTGATGTAGGTGTTGGATTCATAAGGCTGATCAGAATACTCCAGAAACCCAGAATAATACACTATTTAAGGCACAAAAAAACAACATGCTGAACATTATTTGTAAATTATACATGCCTTTAGAGGACTTAACAATATCTCAAGCATTATACTCAATACTGAAGCATTTAGAGGCACAGGTGGACCCTCTCCTGGGTGGACCACCTCCTTCAGGATCCCTCCGTCCCCCAAAACGTCGTCCATCCGCTGCATTAGCAGCTGAAAGGGAGTCTACAATGACGAAGACATTTGGAGCTGTTTTCAGTCTGTTACCAAAACAGCCATAAATGACCAGCCCAAGAGACGTTTTCTAACAACCCTTTCTAAATAAAAGTAGACGTTTGTACAAACATAAGACTCTTTAATTTAATTAGAAAAACAAAGCCACATTTAGCTAAGCTAAAACTCGGCTAAGCTAATCGCTTCGACTTACCACAGAAGGGCGCATCCTTGCAGAAGTCGGTACTAAACCGTTTAAAGGCATTTAATCGCGGGCCAAAACTTGTTTCTGAAAATTAAACCTGATGTATGCGGTGTCAAAAATGTAATTAGCTTTAAATTAATTGTTTTAGCTGTTATTTTTCTGCTTTGAGTCAGACGCGTCAGCTGCCCCGCTACGAACATGTAGGCAGGTTCAACATCTGTGTACCAATTTGCTAACCAACCAGGTCAAGATGTCAAATTTGAATTTCTTTTAAATGTTTTTTCTTTGTCGCATAATAACTGGGTTTTTTTTATAAATACGTGTGCACAAATTTGTTCCTAAATTAAAGTACACGCTCTGAATCCCAACAAAATCTCAACAAAAGCATGAGTTCCTCGAAATGGAATGCAGCCATCACCTGCAGGTTAAAAAGATGGCGCCGATTTCCCCCAGGGCTGCCAGTTTTTGCAACAACAAAAAAAACCTTTATTGGGTTTAACACAGTTACATAAATTGAGTTTTGTGTTTTTAGCTAAACAATAAGAGAAAAAGACCGTTAGAGCAAGGTACCTGGTTACAAATGCTAAAATGTCATGGTGTTTAATTATGAAAGATTTTACAGAAAGTATTCTACCAAGTATGTTAACTTATAATTGTTGTCTGTTCTCCTTCTCCTCAGTATTAATTTTCCAAAGACGACGAATAAAAAGCCAAATATTAGAATTTTTTCCCACTTTAGTGAGACAAGGAGGCTAAATTACATCGACTAAATTGAGAGCCAATATGTAGTTTCAGCTTATTGCCACTGGAGGGCGTCAATACTCCTTCTCATTTATGAAAAGTTATAAAGAAAGTTTGTAGCGCTGTAGCTTTCTGGGTTTAGCACTTTGACTCCACACAGCAGTTGTGTTTAACATTGTTATACAAGTACACATTTACTTGTGTTTTTGCTAACTGCTGAAGGACTCCTTGTCCCTGTACTGGAAATCCATCTGAGCTGCTGGAAATGGGTGTTAGAATAAAACACTACCTGGCCAGAAAAATAGTCACCACCAAAGAAATAAGGTCACACACTGTAATATTTCATTGGACCGCCTTTAGCTTTGATTACGGCACACGTTTTCTGTGGCGTTGTTTTGATAAGCTTCTGCAATTTTACAAGATTTATTTCCATCCAGTGTTGCATTAACTTCTCACCAAGGTCTTGCATTGATGATGGTAGATGATGGCTGTTCGAACGGGGGTGGAATGGGTAGGACGACGGCTCAGAGCACACCCACCAGCTCTAGAGCACACCAGCCATTCTGAGATTCTCCAGAACTCACAGATTGCCAGTCTGCCTCTACCCTCGGCAGGCTGTGACACAATCAACCAGAACATCCTACTTCGGAGGCTTGATTTGTGGGTGGAAATGAAAGGGACCCCACTTGACTGGTTCTGGTCATACCAGTCAGACAGACGATTCAGCATCCACATTGCCGAATGTTCCCTCCCTCTGTGCCGCTCCCCTCGGGAGTGCCTCTAGGTTCAATGCTGGGGCCACTGCTCTTCTCAGTCTACTCGCTACGACTGGGAAAGATCTTAGAAAAACTTGGACTGTATGGAGCTAGGATTGGGACAATATTCAATGTAACGTACCAAGTTTTGTAACTTGGAACATGTTTCATGACATGTAACTTTGGATTTGTAACTTGTAACTTTAGTTGTCCCAATCCTAGCTCCATAGAACTGCATTACCATCTGTATGCCAACAACCACCAGATTATTTGGGCATTAAATAAACAAACTCCACTTGCCTTACTCGTAGACTTCCTATGCCTCAACGAACACAACACTGATGCTATTCTTTTGAACCCCAAAACTCTTCATCACACACCTGGCGCACCCTCTCTCCCTTTGCTAAACATGAAACTCTGTGGGACCAGCTTGGGGTGAAACTCGACTCTGATTTGTCCATGACCTTGTAAATTAATTCCACAGTCAAATCATGTTTCTTTCAACTGTGCTGTATTACTCCATAAAAGTTTGTTTAAAGTTTGTTCAGAAGAGACCTCCAAAAACGCCCATTTCCACTGTGTTTTACCTTTGCCAGTAAAGGACCTGCTGACATCGTTTCAATAATACTTTTGGTAACTCAAGCGAGAATGTCGACGAGCACCAGGCTGGAGGTCGTTGTGTCACACTGACTGAGTTAGAATAGCAGACTGGATGATGGTGATGTTTGAAATCGTTCTATTAGCCATGGGTGCATGCAAAGAAAGCAGCCATCATTTTTGTGTTTAGCTGAATAAGAGAAAAAAATCTGAAGTTCCCCTGTTAAAATTAACAAAATGTCATTGTTATAATGAAATAATTAACATAACGTGTTTATACTGAGCATTAGAACTTTTTAAATGCAAACCAAAAGAAAGAGTAGGATCGTTGTGATTATTAGGAGGCTAAAATGACTTCTAACAAAACCAGAGTGTAGTTCTAGCGTGTCACCACTAGAGGGCGTCAATACACCTCCGCATTCATTCAGATTGATAACGTTTATACAGTAAATTATATAATGCTCCAGTAGCTGAGATACAGGAATCATTCCACACATTTTAATGTGCACGTATGTTCCAGGGAGCATGTCTGTGTCATGACTCGAGGTAAGTGTCTAACCCAAGACATGCAGAATCAAACTCGACGAGCTGGTAGAGTAAAAGAAAAGTTCTTTATTGAAAAATGGGAACAAAAATAGCACAGGGAAGTCCTGTGGGGAGTGAGCTGTTCAGCTCTTGTCCATAAAGCGCTCGTGGAGGAACGAGGCGGGAAAGCCGAGGTGAGCGCTGGGCAGAGGGTGAGCGATCCAACCGGGATGGGTGAGGTAGCAAGGGCGTGTCCAGGGAGTGGCCTGGGGTAGCACATGCCACCCTTGTAATCTGATTGGCCACCCCAGGTGCCACCACATTAATTTACCTTTAAATAGGCTTTTCATTGTCCACAAAAGGCTTGAGGGTAAAACAAAAAAGCATAGCCTTTGGTGCCACCCATGCACAAAGTTGTGCCTCACCTGGGCCACCCCATTTTAATAGATCTAGACACGCCACTGTGAGGTAGCAGAGAGGGACCAGACAGGAACAACGGAGGAGGATGGGACGTGGTGCATGTAATCCAGAGTTCAAACGGCAAGGGCGAGGCAGGTGAGTGGATATCCTGAGGGAAGGCAAATAAACACCAGACGTGAGGGTAATCCAAATGTGTAATCCACAAATCAGTCCGAGTTCAAAATCCGAGTAATCCAAAAGCGAGTCAAAAGTGAATAACAAGTACGAGTACGAGTGGCTGGGGCTACCTCAACTGGAGCAATCATCTGGCATAGTGAGGTGTCTCCATCCTCCTTTTATACCCCAGTTCCTGATTGGGAATCTTCTGCAGCTGCAGCCCCCTCCGCTCCTCACCTGTGGGAAATCAGCTCAGTAACGGTTAGATTGGAGATGGTGCCACACGCCTCGGCTCGGGAACATGACAGTCGTGTTAGCAGAAAATCCATTTCGTCCCATTTTACATCAAACTTGTTGCTAATACAATCGTCACTTTAGAATTTTTTTTAAATTCTTCAAATAAAACCATTTTTTTCTGTCACACAGAAACAGATGAAGAATTACATTGAATTCCCAGTGTATGAAAAACAGTCGACTCTTTAGCGGCACACAGTTCAGAGAAGGTATTGCAGCCACAATGGCCCACATGCGTGGCAATGTGAAAACACCACACGCCAGCTTTCAACCACCTGCAAGTTTTATTCACTGTTTCTGCTGCTTTCTGCAGTCAGGGTCTCTCTCAGGGTTAAGAGCGCTCTCTGTCCATGTCCTGTGAATAAATGTAGAACAGGTCTAATCAGTCATTTGCAGCTGCTTTCTTCTCGCCCCAGTACTGCCACTTGTAACGCGCCTGCCATGCGTCTTCCCCGCCTAACGCGCCTGCCATGTCGACTGCGTCTGAGACATCACTCGTCTCCCTCTCCCCCACGACTGTGTGTGCACATCAGTTATAAATGACTTAAAATCTTATGAAAAAGGGCAAGTTTGACAGTAAACAAGTAAAACTATTACACACTGTTGCTTTAACAGATAAAGAGTTGAGAAATTAAGTAGCTATTTTATTTTAATTACATTTTTTGAAATATATTACCATTTATTTAGCTAATTTAACCAATCGTGTGTTTTAGTAACAAACATCGAGGAATCATCTCATACAGACATTGCCAATTAGTGTGAATGCACCACAAGTTGTTAAAAACCAGGATGGCAGATGAAATTCAAGGTTAAAAAGATGTTTAGCCTGGTGTTGCACAAGAGAAACTCATATTTTAGACAAAACTAACACACATCTCATAATACAAACTTTATTTTCTTTGACCTTTCTGAATACTTTAAAATCACGGCGATATTTTACACAAACGATATTGAAATACAGTGAAATTAAAAAAAAAAGTTCAACTGTACAAATTAAAGTCAGTGGGAAACAGAGAGTCCAGATTTACCAGCTATAAAACATTTATCTTTTCTTAGTATACCGGAAGTAGTGAGTAGACAAACAGAACCATTTTCACTAGGGATGTGTATTTTTGAAATTCTGGCGATACGATACATATCACGATACAGGGGAAATGATACGATATATCACGATATATTGCGATACATTCAGTCAAACGTTACAAGCAATTATTTTTACTGAACTTATTGTAAGAATGTTCAATAAACAGTTCAAACTGATACGTAACATGTTTAACATGAGGTATCTGAACCATGATGGAGGGATTTACATTTCAGTGGTGGAAACAAAACCCGCTGCACACTGCTGCCAACTAGCGGTTGGCGATTGAATTGCGCAAAACGAAAAGAAAATACACAAATGTTTGCATGTAAATTCTTTCAGGAATTAGATACACGGCTTTTGAATATCGATGTAATAATCGCAGGAAAAAATATCACGATATATTGCCATATCGATATTTCCAATACACAGCTTTTGAATATCGATATAATATTGCTGGGAAAAATATCACGATATATTGCCATATCGATATTTTCTTAATCCCTAATTTTCACATATAGACAAAGCCAAGCAGTTAGTTATGTTTTAGTCCTACTCGTAAGTTTAGGAGGTTCACAAACATATGCATACACATTTATGTACACTAAGTAGATGTCTTCTTCAGAGAGCAAAACGACTTGACAGTGAAATGCAAAGTGAATCAACCTGCATGCTTCAGACCTGGGATTAACCCGTAAGCTAGTTAAAAGCTTTCCTTGTTTTCACTAGAAGTTCTGCAGATCGGTGGGATAGACAAAGTTGTTTCTGAAGAGTTTGTAGGCCAGGAGCTGTCCTCCAAATATCATCATGACCAAGCCTGAACCTGCAGCAACACAAAATAGAAGAGCTGATCTGTCAGGGAGAAATGTCTGAAGGAGATACCAACAGAGTAAACAAATCCAAATCTTACCAAGAGCAATCCACCAGTGCTCTGCTGAAGGAAAATCTGACATCACTGCAAAAATGCATCAAAGTACTATATTTAATACACAATTTATGCATTTTGATTTGTTTCTGAGAGGGTCCACTTGTCCATTCACCTGCTACGGTCATTGCAATGTGCAGCAGTGTGACAGTTATGGCATAGTCCCAAACCCACTCCTCCACAATCCACGCAAACACTAGCCCGCCCAAAACATAGGTCACTTCTGTGGAGATGACTCCAACTGGAAGGCAGGAAAAAAACATGAAAAATCTATTTTGAATAAATGTTTTTTTCTTCATCTACAGCCCTTGTCTGCTTAATGTGATTGGTCAAAAACATTAGAAGCCACTGATTATCATTATTGTTACTATTCCAGGGTCATGTACACAATAGGAATAAATTAAATTAAATTTAATGATCATCTACAGACTTTTTACACACAATAAAGCTTTTTCGAATCTCCAAAGCACCACGTGAACTCTCAATCAATTTGAACAAATACAAAATCTCCAAATGCTCATTACTTTGTTGTTTACAGGTCCACATGGGTAATATAATGAAAATCCGCTGTGTTTAAAATGAAAGGACTGTACATCAGGGGCGTCTCCAGAAAATTTAGACAAGGGTGGCCAAAGAAAATTTTGGGGTGGCACACGTAAATGGTCCTTGAGGTAACTCTGGGAGAGTTTAGCCTTTAGCAATGCATCGCACTGCTCCTTAATTCTTTTTTATTTAAAAAACAATATGAATCCAAAACACTTAACTCAAATTTGAGGAACACAAACATTTCAGAAAAACCCAATTCAGATATAAAAAATTTTATTTGAAAATTTATTGTAGAATTTAATATTTTTGTTTAATTCGCCTGTTGCTGTCTTCACAAAAAACTGTAGAAATACAAACTTTTTTTCAATGGTGAGAAGCCGAAAAATAACTTTTTAAATTTCTGAATAATTTTGTATTTTTTCACTGTATAAATATTTATTGTGTTTTACATTTATGTCTTGAATAAATTAAATGATTTTATGTTTTGAGTGAACATATGTATACAAGATCCTCATCTGTGCCCCAGACAAGCTGGTTCCCAAAGTCAGAGACTCTTGGTCAGCTTGCTTCTCACACCAAACCTTCTGTCAGGAATCTTGGTGTGACCTTTGACCTAGCTCTCACCCTGGATTCTCATGTCAGTTCTCTTGTTGGCTCTTCCTTCTTCCATCTCAGGAACGTTGCTAAGCTGAGTCCCATTCTGTCCCGCTCTGAACTTGAGACAGTTCTCCACACCTTCATCTCCTCACGCTTAGACTACTGTAACTCTCTTTTCACGTGTCTGAGCAGAACCTCCCTGAACCGTCTACAGGTGGTTCAGAACGCCTGTGCTCGGCTTCTGACCAAGTCCTCCAAACACACCCACATCACCCCGCTTCTCCTCCAGCTTCACTGGCTGCCAGTCAACTTCAGGGTTCATTTCAAGATCCTGGTTCTGGTCTATAGGGCCTTACATGGACAAGCACCATCTTACATTGGTGATCTTCTTAGTCCCTACACCCCCAGCAGGTCCCTGAGGTCCAGTGACCAAAGCCTACTGGTTGTGCAGCACCAGGCTAAAGGTCAAAGGTGACAAATCATCTGCTGCTGTGGCCCCCAGACTCTGGAACTCTCTCCCCCTGAGCCTGAGATCAGTGGACTCAGTGGTCTCCTTTAAAAAGCAGCTGAAGACTCACTTGTTCAAGCTGGCTTTTGTATGACCTTCTTCACCTCTCTCTCTTTATTCTGCTCTCCCCACCTATTCCACCTTCCTCAGGATCCACTGATCTCCCTCTTTCCTGTTCACTCTCTCTCTTTCTTAACATTTCTTAATCACAATTGCCTATTTTTGCTCATTTAAAATATATTTTTAAACATTTTCTAAATTTGTTTTTATACTTGAACATTTTTTTTGTTTTTGTGAAGCGTGATTTTTATCTCGAGAGGCGCTAAAGAAATGATATTTTCTTCTTCTTCAACATTTATATGATTTATTAACACTGTTCTTTCCGGGGGGGGGGGGGGGGGGGGGGGGGCAGCTTTTTCTAGGGTTGGCCATGGCCACCCCTTGGGGGTGCCACTGTGTACTGCCCTGCATTTTATAACAGGGTTTTAAACTTAGACCATGAAAGATAATGAAAGTGTCATTATGGAAATGTAGCTTGTCAGCAGTGGACAACTACAATGTTCAATGTGTTGAAACTCACCCAGGTATTTGGGATTCTGCCATGACGGTTGTGTCGTGTAGTCGAAGGGAGTCAACAAGCTGTTCATCTCATGAACTCTGCGATAAAAGATCAGGAGGTACACTATTTAGTTTCACTAATGTGTGTGTATATGTGTGTATATGTGTGTTTGTGTGTGTACCTGAACAGCCCAATGCAAAGACTGACTGCGATGTAGTAGAGTGAGTAGAAGCACACCATGCACATCAACAGATTCTGCAGAACAACCTGAGAACAGAGCTCATTAATGATCATTTGTTTTAGTGAGAGCTTTTCCACCACACTGCAGGGCTTTTCAATCCTGGTCCTTGAGGGCCACTACCTGCATGTTTTCTATGCTCCCCTGCATCAAAAACACCCGGATCAACTCGGTGGATGATTAACGGGCTTCTGAGGTGCTTGATTACACGATGAAATGGTTCAATCAGAGTTGTTAGCACAGGGAAACAGTTAAAGCATGACTGGCAAAGGTCTGGTGTTGCCGTTCACTTTAATAAACAAGATAACAACAGAGCTTTAAAAACACAATTGTAAACATCAAATGCAACATAAGCCTTCTGCTAAATGTTACAAGGTAATAGAACATTTGCTCCTTCATTTTATCCTCAGTGACCCAGACGACAAATCCTCGCCTGCCCGTAAGAGCCTCCGTTCATGGATGAGCTCCATTCCGGTTGGTGGGTCTGTGCCAGGGCTTTCAGGTTTCCCGGAACACCTTGATGGAACACGGGTCATTGTTTATCCCGTTAGCTACACCTGTGATTTCCAGCTGAAGTCTGCTGTCATAACAAGAGAAAACGTGAAGAAAGGTGCACTCTACAGTCAGCTGAATTTATTCCTTTACCCCATAAAGTCATGAAAAGAATAATCACTAATTGTGATTCAAAAGAAATAAGAAGTTTTCAGAATTAGAAGATTAGTTTGTTTTGGTGCTATCCAAAGAAAAACAGCAAAAAGGTTGTTTCATTCTCACCCTTTGCCTTGATGTCCATCCAGGTACTAGTGAGGCTATGATTTAGACATATTAACAAGACTAAAGTGCTTTTCATACTGTTTTTGCTAACTGGTATTTCTTATTTCTATTTCCAAACATTGGCAGCAATCCATCCATCTTCTGAAGCCGCTTTGTCCACGTAGGGTCTCTGGGGGGCTGGTGCCTATCTCCAGCAGTCAACGGGCAAGCAGGCGGGGTACACCCTGGACAGAGAGCGAGTCCATCGCAGGGCAACACAGAGACACACAGGACAAACAATCATGCACACACACACACACACACACACACACACACCCAAGGACAATTTGGACAGACCAGTCAACCTAACAGTCATGTTTTTGGACGGTGGGAGGAAGCCGGAGTACCCGGAGAGAACCCACGCATGCACAGGGAGGACATGCTAACTCCATGCAGAAAGATCCCAGGCCGGGAAGCGAACCCAGGACCTTCTTGCTGCAAGGCAGCAGCTGCGCCGCCACATTGGCAGCAATCACTTAACTAACTAGAAACTAACTAAAATTTCAAACAACTGCCTGTGATTAACTTGTACATATGCTGCTGTGACCTCAAAAGGGAACATTTGAAATTCTCCACCAGGAAAAGTGTGGGAAAATCAGCGGAACTGATGCTAATACCTTCACACACAGACACACCTTTAATGAGCCATTTGGTTTGTTTGATATCTGAAAATGTGACCAAGAATTCATCTCACGTATTCCCAGAGCACCCCCTCTCAAAAAGTCAATTATTGATTAATTATTTTTAAAAATCTATAAACTATGCAACTTAGAAATTACATGTTACATTAAAACGATTGGTAATCTGATCGATATGACTAATTTCCACTAAACTAAATGTTAACATCAGTATTTATCTTTATGACTAAATCCCCTACAGTAATAAAAAAAAGTATTAAAACGAATAAACTAACAATTTAATGCTTATTATTGATGTGCTAAACCAGATTCTCAGCTTTATTTGTCATATTTTCCCCCTTTTTCCAATCAGATCTAACTCTATTCTGATATTTTCCTTACCCAGGTGTCACTGGGTGTAGTCTTGAGAGTCACGGGTCCATGGCGTTTTATGAGTGTGAATCCACAGCAACGGCAGCAGTAGTCCAACAACATGAATGGCTACTGGTCTAAATGAGAGAAAGCAGCCTACACGTCTCATATACGAGCCTGTGAGAGGGATGTAAAGAGGGTTTGGATTAGAAGGAACGGGATTAGCACTAAGAAGTTGGAGTAAATCCCATCTGGGGTGAGGCAAGACAACTGTAGTAGCCTACAGGTGTACACAAACATAAATTAATCAAAATTAGAAAGGGTTTTTAGAAAGGCTTCAGAAATCTATGCCTGATATCTTACAGTTTTCACCTGTTTTACTTTTGTAGCAAGTTTTTGTTTCTTCCTTTAACTTTTCTTAACCTCTTTAGGCTTTTGTAGGGGGGAATACCTCAAGAAAACGTGTTTATTTTGCTATAATATCGAGTAAAACTCTCTTTCTCAATCATCCTTCAAGTGCATCATTGGAAACCTTTGATCTAAAATACAGTATAGACACCATTTGCTGTTGTCTGGCAGTTTGTAACATAAACACTAGATGGCAGGAGAGTTTCAACCCTGAAAAATTCGTCATCAACTAATAACAGAGGCCAAAAGAGCACATTTCTGAAAACACGCGTTGGTATGAAAGGCTGTTTTATGTTCATTTAATCCCATTGTTGATTGAAACAAACAAGAAAGAGGAAGAAGATGCTGTTGTCCGTGTGAAAATGAAAACACAATAAAGTGACACGAAGAAGAAATTAAAATGATATTTTCAATCCCCTCCAGAAATAGCGTCAAAGACTTGAGTCCTTTGACGTCACACCATGCGTACGTAAAAGCACGTGCGCCTTTGTGTGGGTTTGGGGTTGACTCGGCTGCCACGGTAACCCGCATCACTGTATCCATGGCGACAGAGAGCAGAGGAAAGGCAAGGGGGTTCCGTGAGGATTGACATCAACATCAGAACAGAGCATTTCCCTGTGAGCCCGTCGTTTGTAGAGTGGAATATTTTATTGCGCTGCTTCTGCCAGGTGCTCACACTCATCTCGTTGTTTTCTACTGGTGTGAAGTTTCTCATCTTGGGAACAGATGCCATGAAATGTAGATTTTTTCACTTTGGTGTATTACCATCAATCCTACTTTCAGTGCCATTGCTGCAGGAATGAGCAGCATTATAAAACACACAAGAAGTGAAAACAGGCACAAAAAGAGCAAAGTGAGATTGCATTACACCTTCAAGGCTAAAAGGCAAGGACAACATTAAGATCTGGATCTGTAGTAATAAAATAAACCAAAAAATTTGGCATTGGAGGTGTTAAAGAGCGGGTCAAGTGTGCCTCAGGCCTAGTCCACACGTAGCCGGGTTTTTTAAAACAAATATCTGGCCCTCCAAAAACTTGCATCCACACCACCTCGTTTTAAAAAAACTCTGTCCACACGTACCCGGATAAATACGTTGTTAAGGACATGCCAGACCTGTATGCGGCAGCACTTCCCCCATTCTTAACCTCGTCCTTCGTCTGTGGTCTTCCGCAAGGAGCAGTAATTCCGCTTGCAAAAACAAACAAGCAAAAAGCGAGCGCAGCTCTGAGGGCATCCATGCTGTCGGCTAGTGTAAACACAGGTCGCACACGTGATGTCAGCATTTTTTTGTCGCGGAAAGTGACGTTGCGGACCTTAAAACTCCGGTTTTGTCCGTCCACACACAGACACCCAAAACGGAGAAAACGCAGATCTTCACTTTGGCCGGAGTTTTTAAAAAGATCCGTTTTCGTGTGAAAAAACTCCGTTTTCGTGTGGATGACAGGCCAAAACGTAGAAAAATATCTACGTTTTGGCAGATCCCGGGCTACGAGTGGACAGGGCCTCAGAGTCCTTCTCCACCCACGTATCGATTTTAAAAACTGCAACATCAGTAGGCGTGGCCTGGCGGACCGAGAGGGCGGAGCCGCGGCAGCGACGAAGACGATGGGTAACGAGACAAGCTAGCTCCCTTCACTCTGAGCAGTCATTAGAAGCGGAGGACGTTTCTCCCCCTCCTTACCCAGACACTCGAGAAGAAAGGAACCAAGTCTATTTGGAGGAGACAAGCGGACCTGAGCCTTATCACGTTATGTCCCAGTTCTGGAGACTGGAGCTTTTTCAAAATGCAGCAACACCTTTGATCTCAGCTTGATCAGACTAGCTGTTAGCTCATCAGTCCTGAAGGATGTAAACTGTCTACGGTAGATTAGAATGTACTCATTTCAAATAATAACCTCTCAAACTTTCCTCGATTGTTGGTTTTTCCATGTTTACCTCATTTTTCCACCTTCTGTTCCCAAAACTTTCATCAATTAGCTACACTTTCCCCTTAATTATGCAGCCTACTCCCAGCCGCAGCTGCTTGCAATAAGAGTAACACTAAATCTCAACACATTTAGCAAATCCGCTAATTCCACGCTGGCTTGTTAATGAAAAATATAACAGTTAACTATGTCAGGCTTTGTAATATTTCCCCTCTTTGTCTTTCTCCCACACTCTGTCCATGTCTTCCATCTGCCCTGTGCCTTTGCTGCCCCTCGGCATGTTTTCATTTAGATCCTTCATGGAATGTAAACACAGCAAAAATTCATCACAGCACCAGCGATGTGACAAACGGCCGATCCCGTCCAGGTCTGCTCTGTCTCAGTGTGAAGAAACAAGCAAAACGGTAGAATGTCACCGCTGGAATTGGCCATCTTAACAGTTTTCTGTACGATTGGGGTGAAAAAAAGCATCGTTGTCGGTAAGAAGGTGGTGGACGTCACGATGAAAGTCAAGAATGGCTTTTATCTGAAGCTCCTGATAATTGTGTCCAAGAGTGAGTTGATGTGTGTGTGTGTGTGTGTGTGTGTGTTCAGCCGACCGTGGGCCATTTCTTTTCCCATAAATTAAATCTGAGCAAATAATGGTCTCTCTCTCTCTCTCTCTCTCTCTCTCTCTCTCTCTCTCTCTCTCTCTCTCACACACACACACACACACACACACACACACACACACGCACGCACGCACGCACACACACACACACGCACACACACACACACACACACACGCACACACACACACACTTTAGCTCATATATGCCCGATCTCTCTCATACATGCTCTTCACATCCCTTAAACACCATTTTTTCTATTTGCACTGAATCACTTTCAGCATGTAAACACAGGAAATGACACGCATGCCAACGTGTGTGTGTGTGTGTGTGTGTGTGTGTGTGTGTGTGTGAGAGAGAGAGAGAGAGAGAGAGAGAGAGAGAGAGAAAGCAAGAGAGAGAGAGAGAGAGAGAGAAAGCAAGAGAGAGAGGGAAGGAGGGGGGGGGGGGAAGTAATATTCAGTTTACGCACAAGAATATATTCCAGATGTTTTTTTCTGCTTTAATTTTTGCAGGAATCTTCAAACTGTCCTTAAAAATAGCACACATGTAAACAAAAACAATGTTTTTACTTCCACTGATCATACTTTCTTCCTGTGCGCTTCCTCTTTCCTCTGAATGGCTCTCTTTGATGTCTCCCCTTTAAATATGCCCATAGTGGAAGGACGTGCATGCGTACATGTGCTGCCCCCCCCCCCCCCCCCCCCCCCGAGCTTGCATACAAACAAACGCCCCCCCCCCCCCCCCCCCTCTCTCTCTCTCTCTCTCTCTCTCTCTCTCTCTCTCTCTCTCTCTCTCTCTCTCTCTCTCTCTCTCTCTCTCGTTCATTCCCACGAGTACCGAAGCGCATTCAGGACTGGTTGGAGCTGCTTCTCTATGATTTTCTGGAATAAAACCCATTTTTCCTGCTTGATCAGCAAACTCATCGACCAGCGCTTGTGTTTTAAACATTTCTTCAACGCCTTTTCATATTTTGGACAGATTTGATATGAAACCAAGTTTTTTTTCTTTCTTTTGGACGTTTTACGCGTTTTACGCATTTTAGGTTTCCCAAACAAACACCCAGATGATGTGTTCTTCATTAACAGTTAATCATCGACTACGTGGAATGAATATTTTAAAAGGCTGAGTGAGGTAGAAAAGGATTTCCGTTCATTGGTGTTTCTCTCCGCCCTCTGCGCGCGCTCCGCACGTTCCACAAGGAGTAAAGCATGATCGGCGCACAATAAAGCCCCAACAGAAACACACTTTTGAACGCAGTGAACAGTGATACCGATGACCCGTCGTGTCTGTTAGGGAGCTGGATGCTTTCTGAAGACTGCTGCTGTTTCCAAGCGCTGCATGGGAGCGAACTGTCACCTCGGCTTTCCACGGCACGCATCTTCCTGGAGGTATCCTCCTCACCGTGGAAGATGGCTTTTGAGTTTCCTCCAGGTTGTAGCCTGATCCCTCTGCTTGCCTAATGGCACAACGGCAGTGAACACTCGGCTTTTGTACAGGTGAGAACTCTAATGTTGCAAAGAAAACGAACAGCGTGAAGAGTCTGGAATTATCATACTTTAGTTTAATCTAAAACATAAAAAGATCTTCAATGTGATTTCAGTTCAGTTTCCATTCTGGAGTCACTGTTTTAAGTAATAAAAAACATCTTTCTTTTAAATTAGATGTTTTAAAATCTCCCGTTTATGAACCTGACCTGATAAAATGTCCTGCTGCTGTCAGATATCTGCTCATCGTCAGTAAAGTGAGGAGAATACATGTAAACCAGAGCAGCGTTTTAGTATTACATTGTCTGATTATTGGTGAGAGAACAAACCAGTTAAACTAAACAGTTTTACACTTCTTGCCCTCACACAAGCGTCCCACTGCTTTTATTTTTAAATGTATCTTAACCGGAAGTAGGACAGTAGATCATTTTAACCCTTTGGTGCATAACGGTCACTACAGTGGACAGGTACTCAAAATTGTTATTTATTTGTTTTTGCTATTAAGCACAGCTGTTGAAGACTTTATTGCATTTGAGCCCCTCCGTTTGGACTTCAGTAAGCCAAGCCAACACATTTCATGCTCAGAATGCACGATGTCCACTGAAGTGGACATGTAATAAGTTATTTGTAAATTATAAAATTTTACAAAAAATATTTGTTGAAATTTGTTTCATTCACACCTAAAGACGAATGAAAAAATTGTTAAAAAAATCATGGTTGAAGATTTCATAATTCATGCATCAAAGGGTTAATAGAGTGGAAGAGTGTTAAAAGCTGGCACAGGAAGTCACACCTGTCAATACACTGCCAATTAACACCGTCTCCTCCTGTATGTCATGGTTGAACTGTTATTTTACCAAAACATAACGAAATATGGAGCATTAGGAGGGTATTTTCAATGATATTTCATTAAAAGTAATTACCATAACAGCTTCTGTTTCGAGGAATAGTTCAGACTGATAGGCTAACAGCTAGTCAGAACACAGTAAACAAGTAAGTAAGTACATTTTATTTATATAGCACTTATCACAGATATAGAATCGCGTCACGTTGATCAAAACAAAATCAAACATAAAGTCATTAAATCACAATGATCTAAAACAGAAACAGATTAATGTCAGAAAAAAATACGGCGTTAAATTATCAAACTTCATAAAAAGATGAAAGATGATACAAATTTGAGTAAAAACTAAGAAAATAAAAGATTTAGGTAAAAGCAACTTTAAATAAAAGGCTCTTCAGCTGTTTTTAGTAAGTGTCTAGACTGTCAACGCTGCGTAACGATAAAGGAAAATCATTCCAAAGCCGGGGTGCAACAGTCTGGAAGGGGCGATCACCTCGACTTTTATATCTGGTCTTTGGAACTTCTAGAAGGTTCTGGTGGGTGGACTTGAGGGGTCGGGTTGGAGCATAAGGCTTTAACAGTTCAGTAATATAGGGAGGAGCTTGACCGTGTAGAGCATTGAAAGTTATAGTCGTCGTCTTCCTCCGCTTATCCGGGTCCGGGTCGCGGGGGCAGCATCCCAACTAGGGAGCTCCAGGCCGTCCTCTCCCCGGCCACCTCCACCAGCTCCTCCGGCAGGACCCCAAGGCGTTCCCGGACCAGATTGGAGATGTAACCTCTCCAACGTGTCCTGGGTCGACCCGGGGGCCTCCTGCCGGCAGGACATGCCCGAAACACCTCCCCAGGGAGGCGTCCAGGAGGCATCCTGACCAGATGCCCAAACCACCTCAACTGGCTCCTTTCGATCCGGAGGAGCAGCGGTTCTACTCCGAGTCCCTCCCGAATGTCCGAGCTCCTCACCCTATCTCTAAGGCTGAGCCCGGCCACCCTACGGAGGAAACTCATTTCGGCCGCTTGTATCCACGATCTCGTTCTTTCGGTCATTACCCAAAGCTCATGACCATAGGTGAGGATTGGGACGTAGATCGACCGGTAAATCGAGAGCCTGGCTTTCTGGCTCAGCTCCCTCTTCACCACGACAGATCGGCTCAGCGTCCGCATCACTGCAGACGCCGAACCAATCCGCCTGTCGATCTCCCGATCCCTCCTACCCTCACTCGTGAACAAGACCCCGAGATACTTAAACTCCTCCACTTGAGGTAGGACCTCTCCCCCGACCCGGAGTTGTCAAGTTTTATTGCAAGTAATTGCAGTTTTAAAATTGTGGTTACTTGCATAATTGAGCAGCTCTCAATTACAGTAGAACAGAAAAATATTTCAGATTAGAGATCACTGAAAACATCAGTAATCCGCTTCGTGGCTGACCTCGTTGTGCCTAGCCGTTAGCTCGTCTGTTTGATCAAAACTAATCTCCATTTCTCCAAACTATGATTCTTCAAACAGCTATCTACAACAGGTAGCATACTAATCGTTTTCAACATCTTCATAAAAATTTGATTCCACGACTCTTAAAGATCCCTTTAAATGCAGATACTCCCTTATGTTTTATTGTGCGGCGTGAGAGAATCTATGTTAAACTAGGAGAAACTTGGAAACTGTTTCAAGAGCAAAATCACTCATAATCACACATCCTTGGCTAACAAATTCTACGGCAAGCCTTGATGTGTTTAAATTGAGAACCATTAGGAGGTCAAGTGACATGTCTGTTAATCCTCCTTCACAGATATCACGCTGGCCGGATAATCCTATCTAAATACCTCCCTGGTAGGGCAACTCTCTTCACTCTGTTACTTCAAAGATCCCCAAGACGGTGATAAGAGAGAGAATTATTCACAGAAGTGTTTTAACAGAGTAGCTTCATGGTTGCGTCTTCTTTCAGAGGAAATTAAATCATGTGGAAGTCAAAACGAGGACAGGGTTTGTAGGAATTTTAATTGGTCCTTGTTTAAATCTTGAGCGCTCATTTATGGCATCGCTGCCTCAGGCTATGGGAGTTTGGATGAGCGTGTGACTGAGTGACAGCCGTGGCTGCGAGGAAGACAGAATGACTCATTTCACTGCAATCAACAGCAGGCTCTTTCCAGTACACATCCACACGCGCGCGGCAGGCGCGAGCGCCTGATGGTTCAATTCAAAACTTTATTTAATTGAGCCGAGCCGAATTTATCGTCGGAGGTCGTGGCGCTGATTAAGTGTGAAGGATGTGAAGCGTTTCACGAAAACAGTGTGTTTCATCAAATTAATGAGGAAAGAAAACAAGATAGTGCAGAATTCGACACTCGAGGGGTCGCATCAGTGCGACTAAAAGGTCAGTGTGAAAACATGCAGTGACATATTTTCCAGACGGATGACTCACCCGTGACCGTGAGTCCGCAGGAGAGCAACAAACACTCACTCGTTATCTGCTGCTCCTTCGCTTACATAATTTCTTCGGTAACTTCATCCAATAATGTCAATTAAATTGATCCAAAACATGTTATTTGTCTAGGATTTGTTGCCCCTGGAGGCCACATGGTCAAACATCATCTCATCACTGGTTTCCAGGCGTACCTCCAGAAGAGGACGGGGCGCTCTCCTCTATTTACATTTATGAGAGTTTACGTTAAACCGTGTTTTAACAGGTTATATTAATAGATTAATTCCTGTTCTAATCTAAGTAGAAGCAGCATGCAAATGCTACCAAATGCTCAACAGCTTTCCATGTTTAGAAGAGATTAATTTACAAGAGAAGTCTATAATATTCACCAGTTTTCTTTTAAAACTGTGGGGTCTGGACCCCACAGTGGGTCACAAAACACAAAGTTCAAGGTCTTAAGATGGACCCCAAAAACAGATAACACTGAAAAACAATTCTCAATGGGATATTTTTACTGTAATTGAAGTAAAGGCTTAAAATCTTTGACATAAACTGGCGTAAGTGCAGTGGTGTGTCCAGGCCTTTTAAAATGGGGTGGCCCAGGTGGGGTACTCGTTTGTGTATGGGTGGCACCAGTGGTCATGCTTTCTGTTTAGTAAAAAACACATTTTTTTGGGGGTGTCCCCCCTCACAAAATCATTATTTATTGCAGTATAGTGAATCTGTTTCATATTGTGTTCACGGTCATTTTCTTTCTTTCTACTTTTAGCTGTTGTGGTGATTAGCAAGTATCTTCTTGGTGCATTACTGCCGCCATCTGGAGTGGAGTGGGACTGTGACCAGTACTCTAAATATCATTTATGTGAATATGAAGAAATAATTAATAATAGTAATGATAATACAGAAATGTTATGTTGGCCAGGGCTAGAAACCAACGCTACCACCTACTGTTTTGGAGTTAATAACCCCAAGCAATTTGTGGACAATGACTACGTTTACATGCAGCCAATATCCGGGTTATGATCGGGTTAAGGTCGGTATTCGGGTTTCTGAGTTGATCAGAATAACCCGTTTACAAGCATAAATAGAAAGAGTTACCTAACTTGCATAACCCGATGTAAATGCGGGCGTTGGGGTAGCGTCAGGACGTATGGACTACGTCCAGACGCAATATGCGTCATTTCCGGTTCTTCTTGGTCCGGTATCCGTGAAAACAACAACATGTTTCCCAGTTCGGAAGAGATAGCGACCGCGTTTGTTTGTGCTTTAGTTTCCTCGTCACTCCAAAAGTGTGGTGCTGTGCCGCGACTCGCCATGTTGCTCCCAACTTGTTGTTTACTTCCGGTGTTCTGGCGCATACAAGACGTCTCGCTACTCAAAAGACCAAGATTCCTTGCGAACAGAGCATGCGCAGAACACACGCTTTAATGGGGATATTCCGATATGCGTTTACACGACCAAACATTCGGGTTAGAAAAGGGTTACCCCAGGTGTGGTAACCGGGTTTTTAAAACCCCGGTTATGAGCATATCCGGGTTTCTGGCGGTGTTTACAAGGACCTGCGGAACCGGGTTATTGTGAATATTCGGGTTTTAAAAGGGTTACTGGCTGCATGTAAACGCACTCAATGTAAAGTCAATTTAAATAAAACTCAGTGGGGTGGCACCCCAGGCCACTCCCTGGACACGCTGCTGCATAAGTGGAGTTATACCATTTGAAGCTGTTAACTAAAGACAGATGTGGTTACAAGTG